TGGGGTGCCGGCCCCGGGCCAGCCCCCGGCCCAGCACCGCCGGCCCCCGGCCTGGCCCCAGCCCGCGGCCCAGCGCACCCCCGGCCCAGCACCGCCGGCCCCGGCCCAGCACCCAGCGGCGCCGGATTTTCCCGGACATGTTCGGCTTTTGGGGATTTCCCCCCGGACGGGGATTTGAGTCCCAAAAATCCGGACGTATGGTAACCCTAGGCTTGTCACATGCATACAGCACCAGTCACGTCCTGCTGACAGAAGCAGTGCAGGAGTGGGCGGGGGCTGGGAGACGGTGGGTATTCTGATGCGGTCATGGAGATGAGTGGGGGCAAAAGCTTGTCCTTGGGGCTGGGAGCTGGGGCTTGCACCAGAAGAGCATTGGACACCTTTAGTATCTGTTTGTTGCAAAACCCTTGCCTGCTAGATAGAGGGGGAAAGCTCACTGAGGGACCATGTGTACCTGTCCTTCAGGGTAAAGAAAAGTACTGCAGGCTTGTGCCTACTGCTTGTGGTTTATGGGGGCTGGAATTGCAGTTACCTTCGGCATCTGAACCCTGCTCCTCTTCCCCCCCCCTCGTCAGTAACGTACAGTACAAGTAAGAACAAATGACCTCCAATCGTCTTACCGGCATGAAATTGTGGGTCAGACCAAACCTGCCCCATAAGTAGCAGCACATCAGTAGAGTGCATGGAGTGTGACAGTATGTACAAGTAAGAGAATGCTCCCAGCTCTGACCCTGAAACGGGCTCTCGTATTCCCTCTCTGTAGACAATGCTGAAGGCAGCTGCAGCGAGGAGATGGTTCTGTTCCAGATGGTGGGAGATGGAAGCACCAGTGACATAGTCATCCCCCTTGTCTTCCTCTTCCAGAAGGAGGGGCAAGTCCTCTTAGATGCACTGTCCCAGCATCGCAATGTGGATGTGCTGCTGGCCACTAAACCCATGTTCCTAGGTGAAGGTAAGAGGAACCAAACCATAGTGGGAGCTGAGAACTGGATGAGATGAAAGAGGAGATGGAATTAAGAGCAAAAGCACTTTGGAGCCACTCTTGTGCTGTGGTTTTCAACCTTTTGGGCTCAGGCCTTTGTTGATGGCCTGCGGCAACCCAGTGACTAGGGAGGGAGGGTGTCCGTGCAGGTGCAGTGTAGCATCCACCCCCACTCACCTTGCAGCAGTTCTGGGCCCAAGGGCTGGCTGGGCTGGGTTGGGCTCAGCTCAGCTCCCTGCTGTGGGCATTGCCACCCTGTGCACAGGGTCCCAGTGCTGGTCATGTTTGGCCCAGCCACCCCTCGATCCTGATAATGGGGGAGGGGCTGGCTGGGACAAATTTGCACCACTGGTGGTGTGACCTGGTGCATGGAGGTGCAATGGGACCCTGTGCCCCAGGCAGGGGACTGGAGCTGCACTAGGACCCTTTGATGCATTCTGGTTTTATCAGTTTTGGGACATGACGCCCTGTTCTGGTTCAACCGCTAGCTCTTAGCCTTGACTAAAGAATCGTTGGGTAAGATTACGTAGGAGGGCAGATGAGGATAGTCCCCTCTGCCCTTCAAATCCATCGATTGTTTGGCTTGAAAGGAGCTGTAAGTGTTCGGAAATGGGTTCACACCAGGGCTGGTACTGGAATGAGAGCCACGCTGAACAGCTCCCGTCTGGCCTTTGAAAACCCTCACCCTTTAACTGTTCTACATTTCTAGAAAACACAGACCAGCCCTTGTCTGCAAGTCAGTTGCACGAGGCAGCCACAGAGACCCGCACCGGGATGGTGACAAGTGCTCCAGACCAAGCATGAGTGGAGGCTGCTTCTGCTCTCCAGGAGGCTAGTGGCCAGCTAGAAGGCAGCTGTCTGACGCTCCTGTGGAAGCTGCTCCAAGAGCATGGAAAAAGCGGAAGTGTTGCACTCCTACCGTTTACTGCAGAGCACGAGTCACAGTTCGCAGGGTGGAAACCCAGTTGCCAAAAACCTCAGGAACTTTCATGTTTGTAATTTGGAGGAAGGGAAAAGTGGCATTTAGCTGCCAGCCAAAGTACAAGTGAGTCATGACAGTAGCATCTCCATTTTTTTTTTAACAACACTTGTGCCAACCGTCTCGGTGATGCTAAGGGCCAACGTGTGTGTTTTGAAATAGAAAGATGTTGCTCACTCTTGGTTTGTTAATGTGCAAGTGAAGGGGGTTTCTGAGGTGAGTATCAGCTGTAGCCCTTTCCTTGATCTTACTGCCAACAAAGAGCAGGGGATTTTGTACCCAAGAAGGTAAGCCAAGCCCAGCTTTAACTTTCTCTAGCTGTGTCACTTCCAAGTGACGGGCTAGGCTCTGCAGTCTCTATGGTACTTGGAAAGGGAAAGGTAGGAAATCTTCACCTAGAAATCCCACTGGCCTCTGCAACAAGTGTCAGAAGCTCACTACTGCATGTCTAAACAGTAGGAATTAAATTGCCTAATTGAAATTTTACAAGCCTTTAGGAGGTGCTGTGGTTGAACCCAAAACTGTGGCACAACTCCGATGGCTGTATGAAAGCAAGGAAGGGGGTACTTGGCCAGCTGGGAGACCTAATCTACACCTGATAACTGCTGTAAATTAGGCTTGGCAATTTGTTACAACTGACCTGTGGTGCCTTTCTAGTGACCAGCTGGTACTGACTAAAGGGGGGGGGAAGAGATTGCATCCATCAGTATGTGCATCGAACTTTCGCCTGAAGGAGGAAACAATTCACTGCAATTACTGCACTGCCATTGAAGTTCTCTGACATATGTAGTGGTAAAAACTTGTATAAAGAGGCACCATAAACTTTCTCCTCCTGTCCCTTCTGGGAAGGGATGCCTGAGAATTCCATTTTTGTACTGTAGTTTAAAGGCTATTTGAAAACTTTTCTACAGCCTCTTATTACAGGGCACTGCTTGCTCGGTAAGGGGGGCAGCCGAGACACAATCTTCTCTCGTGCTGGGCCTCTGCAATCTGCACTTTACTTTCCGTTCTTAATGGGAGTCAGACTTGGGCCCTGTAATTTCAGGAGCACAGTGGAGAAGTGATGTTGCAAAGGAACTGGCCTTGGCTGCCAGCTGGTGTGAGTAAATTAAACGTTCCTCATATGGGCCCTTTTAATAGAACGTGGTGTCTTTTGCACAAACCCTAAACAAAAAGCAGGTGGCCAGGGGTACTGTCTTACTAGGACTTTTCTACTGGCCAGCCTTCTTCATGGGAACTTGCTTGAGTTTTAAACCTGGCACAAGGCCTGTGCTGATAGCTGGTAACCTGATGAGTTTGTTTTCAGTGTGCCCTGGTTGAGTGAAGTGGGAAACCAGTGACTCCCCAGCCTCAGCCATCAAGCACTCTGCTCGACATTGAGTTTAAGCCAATGTTTCGCTCAGACAGGTTTCTGCCCCTCTTCCCTATTGCAAAGGAAGGGCTGTGAAACCAGACCACTGGCATAGAATTGAGTGGGAAAATGAGGGCCTTAAAGTAACAGACCAGGTTTTAAAGTTCTCATTGCAGAACACGAAGCTGACCAGCAGCGTTAAGTCAAATCTTTGTATTGCATACACAGAACTGGTGCTAGTTTCATAAAATGCATCCCATCTTTATACAAAATGACCAGCATATCATAGAGAGGTCAGGCTAAAAATGCAAATTATACAACTAAGAGTAAGAGGAGAGCAGTGAACCCTGCGGCCAGAGCCCCTGGGCAACGGTGAGTTTGGTACATCCATTGCCAGCAATGGATGTCATCACATTTAAACAGTAAAAGACCTCAGCTGAAGGACGTTGAAGCAGAATTTAACCGAGGACAGGGCTTTATCACACTGCTGGGAACAGCTTCAGCTTCCCCTGGACAATGAGTGTGAGGGCTCGGAACAGCGATCCTTACTGGGGGAAGCTGCACTTAGAAATAGGTTGCAAAACACTAGTGGCCTGTAGCTAAGTGCATGCAGCTGCCCTCACTCCCCCACTCATCAGCCCACAAACACACATTGGGACGAAGCATGCCTTGGTTAGTTAATTCCTGCAAGCTTGCCCATACCCACAGCACTGTTTTTAAATGTGAGATTTCACGCACTTGGCTTTTTAAGAGCAAAACAAGCCGATCTGTAAGCAAGCCGGGTGTTTGGGTTTATAGGAAGAGCTACAACGGGAGTCAAATCTCTTCCAAACAATAGGTGCGTCCTGCGTGGGGGGTGGACTTGGACTCCAGGACTGTGGCTGAATTGTAAAACTGCTGCTGATCTAGATCAGCACCTCCCTCTAGGACCCTGACCCTGTCCCAAGCCCGCTAATAGAAATAGGGCTCTGCCTCAAGGTTGGCAGCACCTGCTAGAAAACATGCCCCCGTACAACAGAACTGTTTTAAATAGTCTGTTTGATTCTCAGCAGCAACTCCTGATGTACCAGTTCATTGTGCAGCAGAGGCTAGACACTTCTTGCCCTTCAGTATGTCTCCCTTAGTGAAACGAGGCCTTAAATAAAGCTTCATCACACGGAAAGGAGCAGCTCCTTGGTAGTAGGGGATAGGAGCCTCCTGCTATAAATTTTATCCCTTTTCTCTACGTAGTGAATTTTCTCCCCTAACTACCCCTGAAAAATTGGCAGCATTTGCTGCTTATTGTAATGATTTAAGGAGGGCATCTTAATTTAACTGCCATTAAATATGATTCTCCCTTCTACTGAGCTTGATAGAGTTGATGGCAGTATTTCTCACGCCATCTTTCACAATCACACCTGGGGCGGCAGTGCTAATAAACACGTTGCTGGCTGACCAAGTGAAGAGTTTGCATGAATAGTCTCGTGTATTTTCTTTAAGAACTGAAAGGCAAGGTGCTACTCGTCCTGTAAGGCCAGCAGGGTGGTAGTATGTTGAACCTCCTGGAGATAGTTTGCAGTTAGAGCTGGGCGGGACTCCCTTCTCCCATTCTGCAGACAGTTTTGAGCTGTCAATATAGGGTGACCGGATGTCCCGATTTTTGGGTCTTTTTCTTATATAGACTCCTATTACCCTCCAGCCCCCGTCCCGATTTTTCACACTTGCTGTCTGGTCACCCTATGTCACTATATTCCTCCCTACCCTGAATTGGGAAAAAGTTAAAATCGTGACAATTTTCACACCTTGAAAATCCAAAAAGAACAAAAATTCAGCTTCGGTCACCCAGCAACGTTTCATTGTGCTACCTGTGAAATGTTTTGACTTCAACCATTGTTACACAGCTTAAATTTAGAAACGCAACATAGTTTTGAAACAAAAAACCCAGAATTTTTCCAGTGACATTTTTGAGTCAAATCTCATCTCAACTGACCCTTTCCTCCAAAAAGTTCCGGTTTTGAGAAATCGTCATTTTTTTGATGAAAACACACTTGTGGAAAAATTCCCAACCAGCTCCAGCTGCTTGTTTGATTGGCACGATCTCCATGGGCACCGATGGCCTGGCTATTTGCCTGGGCTAATCCATTGGTGCTGCAGCAGAGAAGGGACCCAGGGACTTGTGCAATTGAACAAGGGGAAGAAAACTTGGTCCCAGCTGAAAGCTTGGATCTCCTTTTAAGCAGACCCTAATGGATGGAGTTAAATGACAATTTTCCCATCACTTATTAAATTAGCACCTTTTATATATATATATATATTTATATATTTATAGAGAAATTACTTTTGTAAACAATAGTCTCCTCCTTCAGAAGGCCGTGTAGTCCATGGCATAATGCAGCTATAAACATTACCTTATAAATAGGAAGGGTAGCTTTCAAAAGCCAGCCAGAGGTACAGCAATGAGAAGGGTTTTTTTAGTTCCTTTCTCCTTTGCAGTCATATATTCCCCAAAAGGAAAGTGGATTTTTGTTTCTGGGTTCAGCTGAAGCAAACTGGCCCAACCGTGAAGCCAAACTGGTGCGAGACGTCTCCATTGTGAAACACAGCCAGGTCACGCAGGGGCAAGAGCGCCAGCTCCTCGCTGGAAAACTGGAATATGGTGTCTGTGATCGAAGACTCGTTGTCCAGCTGTAACACACAATGGAGCTGCACTATTAGCATGGGTCAGTGGTGACAGTGTAAGAGGTCATAGGCCTTGTCCCCACTCAGAGAATCAGAAGATTAAGGTTCAACGAGACCTCAGGCGGTCATCTAGTCCAACCCCCTGCTCAAAGCAGGACCAATCCCCAGACAAATTTTTACCCCAGATCCCTAACTGGCCCCCTCAAGGATTGAACTCATAACCCTGGGTTTACAGACCAATGCTCAAACCACTAAGCTATCTCCCCCAGGTTAAACATCTCCATCAGAGTCTATTGAGAACAGTATCGTGCCCATACAAAAAGACACCCTGAAAGAGAAGCTAGCACCTAATTTGCTCGCCACATTAGCATGCGTGTCCTGAACTGGAATTGCTCGCTGGAGGGGCGGGGGCTAGGGGGCAAACATCCATACTACATGGGCTCCACATAGCTATGGGTAACGGGTAACTGCTTTGGCCAGGTCTCGTCATGGCAAAGGTTGATGTGGCATCCACCACCTCTTCCCAAGGCTACCTTTGAGGCTACGTCTTCACTACCCGCCGATCCGGCGGGTAGCAATCGGTTTATCGGGGATCGACTTACCGCGTCTCGTGAGGACGCGGTAAAATCGATCCCTGATGGCTCTACCGTCGACTCCGGAAATCCACCTCGACAAGAGGCGGTAGCAGAGTCGGCGGCAGCGCGGCAGCGGTCGACTTTCCCGCGTCCTCACCGCCAGGTAAGCCGACCTAAAATACGCAACTTCAGCTACGGTATTCACGTAGCTGAAGTTGCGTATCTTAGGTCGGAAGTCCGCTGTAGTGTAGACCTAGCCTGAGACTAGCACTAAGCCCCTCTCCCTGCAGCTGGGAAGACCGGATTTAGTCTTGCAGGAAGGTCTGTCAACGGTTGCTGTGTGTGACCTACAAGGGGTTCCACCGGAAAGGCCTTTGCCCTTCGGGAATCCCCACTTCTCTCAACCTAATTGCTTCTACTAAGAACACCCCCCCACTGGCACAGCTTCCCCGCCCATCCCCGTACCATGCAGCCTGGCAGCGTGGTCAGGTAGCTCTGCTCCCTGGAGTCCGCTAGGAATTTGACGTCTTTCTCCAGCTGCGGCTCTCCGTTGGCGTCAGGCCTGCAGGAGTACGACACCTTCTGGGTGGCGAGGCTGCTGTGCAGCTTCAGGAAGCGGAGCTGGACGGTGCTGGCACCCTGGTATTCCAGCTGCAGCGACAAGAGGGTTAACGGGGTTCAGCTGGGGGGGCAGGGGGGAGCAGACCTACTGCAGCCGCTTAGAATGCTTAACCCACAGCAAAGCCCCCGAGTCTAGCCTGATGGAGAGGATGGCACCATGTGTGTCAGGAGGCTCTTCCAAGGCCCACATTTAACCCACCCTGAGATTATCTAGGGGTGCCCAGTTTTTCACTGGAACGCCCGGTCGAAAAGGGACCCTGGTGGCGCCAGTCAGCACCGCCGACCAGGCTGTTAAAAGTCGGGTTGGCGGCACAGCAGGGCGAAAGCAGGCTCCCTGGCTCTGCAGGGCGCCACCCCCGCAGCTCCCACTGGCCCCAGTTCCTGGCCAATGGGAGCTGCGGAGCCGGTGCTTGGGGCGGAGGCAGAGTGCGAAGACCCCTGTCCCCTGAGCTTAGGGGATGCACATGCTGCCCGCTTCCAGGAGCCGCGCAGACCCAGGGCAGGTAGGGAGCCTGTCTTAACCCCGCTGTGCCTCCCGGCCAGAGCCCAAACCCTCTGCCCCTGGTCGGAACCCCCTCCAACTCCCTCCTACAGCTGCCCCCAGCCCTGAGACCCCTCTTGCACCCCAAACCCCTCATCCCCGGCCCCACCCCTGAGCCCACACCCTCAGCCAGAGCCCACACTCCCTCCCACACCTCAACCCCCTGCTCCAGCTCTGAGCTGCCTCCTGCACTCCGAACCCCTCAGTCCCAGCCCTGACCCCCCCTCCTGCACCCCAAATCCTTCATCCCCGGAGCCCTCACCCCCTTCCACACCCTAACCCACTGCCCCAGCCTAGAGCCCCCTCCTGCACCCCAAACCCTTCATCCCCGGAGCCCTCACCCCCTAACCCTCTGCCCTGAGCCCCCTCCTGTTCCCTAAACCCCTCGGCCCCAGTCCTCACACCCTCCTGCACCCTAAACACTTCACCCCCAACCCATCTCGGAGCCCTCACCCCCTCCTGCACCCCAAACCCTTCATCCCCGCCCCATCTCGGAGCCCTCACCCCCTCCCATACCCCAACCCCTGCCCCAGCCTGGTGAAAGTGTGGGGGAGAGAGCGAGCAACGAGGGGGGGATGGAGTGAGCTGGGAGCAGAGCAATTAGAAAGTTGGCAACCCTAAGATTATCAGCTGGGGGGGACACGATGTTTTAACCCCATTGCCAGAGTCCCAGTGGAACAGGAGGGATACACCGTGGCAGTAGGACTGCCTGGCTTTCACCCCCCGGAGGTGTTACAGACGTTATTCAGGCCGGATGCCCACTCCCCTTCCTGGTTACAGGCACAGGTGGTGGTGGTGGTCGGGGGTCGGCGAACCTGAGAGCAGCTTTCAGAGGCTGTAAGGCCAGAAGGGACCCGTGTGCTCACCCAGTCCGACCGTACATACAACACAGGCCCTAGGACGTCCCTGGATTAACTCCTGTTTCAAGCACAGCTTGATTCAAGAGTTACCAGCACCACCCACCCGCTCCTACGGAACGTGCCAAGAATGAGAACGGCAGGTTCTGCGTCCGCTATTAAATCAGCCCTGCGTGCAGCGCTCGCATCGCGCCTGGGATAGAGCCCTGCCAATGAACGAAGAGGAGGGCCCCGTCCCTGACACACCAGAACTGACCAGGAAGCCCCCAGGCAGGGCGCTGAACCACTCAAAGGTGTCCTTGGAGGTGTAAGCTCTCAGCCAGGCTTTGATAGGCACCTGGTGGGGGGAAACGTTGCCAGTTAGACGCCCCGGCTGCGGCTGACGAGACGACAGCCTGTCATGACTTTCACCTCTGTGTCTGAGGTTAAACAGCTGGACTGCCTGGCACCAAATAACTCTGACCAGGAACTGCAGCCTGGCTTCGTCTCCAGCCGAGGCAGCTCAGCAGAGCCGTGCCCTGGGCCTGCACGTGTGTTGTAAATCGGCTCACTCTTGGGGTTTACACAGAGAGCAATCTCCCCTTCCGCCCCCCCCCCCCCAAGGCAGCAGTATGCCCCTAAGCACCCCCAGAGGGGCTACGGAACAAGACTGCTGTCTGCCTTGCCCCCTGCACTGTTTGTGGCTTTGTCAGCACAAACCAGACACACAGCAAGTTACATGTGGCTGATCGTTGGTGCTAAGGCTCGGGGCTACATCCCTCTTTACTTCCTCTCTAATTCCCCTTCGTTCCCCTCATGTCCCGCCCCCGCTATGCTGTCAGTCACTCCCTCCCCAATTCCTGGACCTCTACCCTGGCTTCCATATCATGTCTCAGGTCCTTCTCCGCACGGGCCTGGCTCTGCCACCATCAGAGGCATTGCAGAGAAGCAGATTTTGTGCAAGTCCTGCGGCCTGAGAAAAGCAGCCAGACTCCCCCCTCCTCCCCTCCAATGCTGCAACCCCCCTGCCATACCTGATTGCGTACTGGAGCGATACAGGTCTCTCCCCCTGCCGTGAAGTTGCAGAAGGCCAGCAGAGAGTCCTGCGGACTGCCTTGATTGGGGTCTATGTAATAATAACCTGGACGGGGGAAGAGCAAGGACCGGGTCACCCAGAGCCGCTGGTGTTTGGGAAGAGAGGAGGCTGCTTTAGCTTTCATGTCCAAGCACACGCCTTTTCTAAAGGGTAGTGCCTGTTACTAGGGCGTCCACGCTAGAGCAGGAGTCCTGTGATGTGCTCTGCTGCATTCCCCACACCAGCCCCTTAACCACGTCGGTCTCAATTTGCTATAAATCATGCTGAATTCCCAGTCATGTCACGCGGCCTGACTCCCCACCCCAGCCAACCTGTCACACGCCGTTCCCAACAGTGGACTAATAAACACCAGCCAGCCTGCTGGCAGGGTATGTGGGCACTCACTCCGCAGCAAGAAATACGTTCCATGCTGCCATAACGTTCACACTGTAACCCACTTCTTTTTTTAAGCTCAAGCTGTAGCAACTCCAGCTTCGAGTTCTGCTTTTTTTAGCTCAATCCCCAGTGAGTGAGCCCAGATGACACGCAGGAACTCATCCAGGCTTTGCACTGCTGTGGACCTCGGCCCCTCCTCATGGGCTTCCTAAGTCCGAAGGAATCACGTAAGCCGTTGGTGAGCGTGTTACACGTCCCCCTCGGTGCCTGATCCAAACAGGATCGGAGTGTGTTACAGCCCCAGCCCGTGACCTTTAGCAGCTCAGACTTTTAGCTGTGAGGGGCCCCAGCTGACTTCCCTCTGGGTCAGCCAAGATGGCGGAAGTCAACACACCGCCCCACCCTGAGCGCGGTGCCAGGAAAACATCAACCCGCCCGAGCACAATAGCTGTGATACTGCAGATGTGACCAGGCTGTAAAGAGTAACTGGCGATATCCCCAGCTCATCTTTTCTCCTCCGGAGAAGATATGACCAGGCTCTGGCTGTAGGAGCTGTCAATTAACGGGCTCTAGAGAGAGTGCAGATCCGAGGGGCCGGGGGCTGTGTGCGCGCAATCCAGAATGAGAGAGAGGAGGTTATCTGGACATCTGTAGACCACCCACAGAGGAACCCTCCTTTTCTGCTGGACACCGATGCCCTGAGTGCACTGGCTCTAAATTCCTCTGAGAGATTAACCCTGGGACAACCACTGTCCCATCCACCTCCCCCAGGGCAGGGCACAGTGAACCTCAGTGCTCATGAAGGTGCAGGACTAATGATTTCTTCTTAGAGCCAAGGGGAGAGGCCCGGTGGACGCTTCCCTCCCCCCACGAGCTCTCTCTGCAGCGCTCAGTCAGCACCCCAGCTGCTACACGCCAGTGGTGAGCTTTCCTTAATGGAGCTACCAAGCCGAGTTCAGAGAGGACTGGAAGGACCCCAGTCCACCCATGACATCCGGACTGGGATCCCGCTCCCCCAAGAGCACGGTGCGGTTTGTTCGGTACCGTCAGGCAGGTCAGGCTGAGCCAGGAGGAGCTCCTTGCAGTTGGCAGCCGGGTTGTCTTTAGTGCCATTTGGGGGCTCTACCAGGAGCTTCAGCTCATGGCCCAAGTTGTCCAGAAGAGCCCACACCCTGGCGTAGTTCAGTTTGTTGGTTGAATAAATCAGATGCTAAAAGGGGTGGAAGAAATACAGAAAGTAACTCGAATCTCCCTCACCTTTCCCCAGGCAGCCAGGAACAGCCCAAGTGCACCCAATGTCTGTCTTGTCTAGTTACACTGTGGCTGTTGAGAGCAGGGACTCTCTCTCACTCTGTACAGCACCTTGCGCAATAGGGCCCTGATCTCAGCTGGGGCCTCTAGGTACTACTGGAATACGAATAATAAGGGGGGCAGGTAGGAGAGGAAGTTGGTATGCTTAAGTAGATGCCTCCTTACGAAGTCAGAAGTACATTCACTGGGCTTTGTGATCTAACACTGCAGCACTGACTGGTGACGCTTTCTGGGGAGTGGCCAACAGGCTTAGCTGGTTTTTCCTTAGACTGGAGGAAGTCTTCTCCTGCCCAAAGAAGAGCGAAGTTACAAGCTCTTCTGTTGTGGCTGGAAATTGGAAAGCAGTGTGAAGAGGGGGAACGTGATTTGAGACTTGCAATGCAAACCCGGGGAGATGGAGGCCACTGGTTGTTCGGTGCCCTCAATTCTCCTGCTTCTAGCTTTGCGCTGATTAAGCCACCGTATATTTTATATTCAAGCAAGCCTGTGCAGGCGAACACCCCCCCTTCCCCCCCCCCCAAGCCCAGGGAGCCAATACACAGCTCCCACCAGGCCAAGACTAACCAGAGCTTTGGGAAAGGAAACATTCCCCCCACCAAACCAGCGGCCCCCACCACATCCTCTGTGACACTCGAGGGCTGTGTTCCCCCCCCCCCCCAACACTCACCTTCAGTTCCTCCATGGAGACGTTTAGCGAGGGTCCCCTGGGACCGGCAAGGCCGGGCGCACCCTAGACGACAACGACAACATAGATTCATAGATTCTAGGACCGGAAGGGACCTTGAGAGGTCATCGAGTCCAGTCCCCTGCCCTCATGGCAGGACCAAATACTGTCTAGACCATCCCCGATAGACATTTATCTAACCTACTCTTAAATATCTCCAGAGATGGAGATTCCACAACCTCCCTAGGCAATTTATTCCAGTGTTTAACCACCCTGACAGTTAGGAACTTTTTCCTAATGTCCAACCTAAACCTCCCTTGCTGCAGTTTAAGCCCATTGCTTCTTGTTCTATCCTTAGAGGCTAAGGTGAACAAGTTTTCTCCCTCCTCCTTATGACACCCTTTTAGATACCTGAAAATGCTATCATGTCCCCTCTCAGTCTTCTCTTTTCCAAACTAAACAAACCCAATTCTTTCAGCCTTCCTTCATAGGTCATGTTCTCAAGACCTTTAATCATTCTTGTTGCTCTTCTCTGGACCCTCTCCAATTTCTCCACATCTTTCTTAAAATGCGGTGCCCAGAACAGGACACAATACTCCAGTTGAGGCCTAACCAGCTCAGAGTAGAGCGGAAGAATGACTTCTCGTGTCTTGCTCACAACACACCTGTTAATACATCCCAGAATCATTGGCACCCTCTCAGCATTCCGCACAGAGCATCAACAGGGTGGCCTGAGCCAGCAGTGGACTGGATGCGAGGACCCAGGAGTTCCCTTCCAGTCCTACTGCCATTCAGTGCTCCCCAGGTACACGGCAGGCTGCTTGGTGCACTGCTGCCAAGGCCTTTTGACTCCCCCGCCTCCATCTGTTGTCAACCGCACAGTGCAAGTTCTCTCTTGTTTGAGAAGGAAAGGACGGGGGATATGTAAATATCGGCTTAACTTACAGGCAGGCCTGGCTCGCCTTTGGGTCCTGGCAGGCCTTGGAAACCTTTAAGTCCCTAACATGAGAGAGAGAGAGGGGGGGGGGGGGGAAACAATAAACAGTCAGCAAGAGGCTCTGCAGCTGGAGACTGTCCCAGAGAAAGCACTAGGAATCCCTCTCTTCCCTCTGTCAGGGCCCGCACCCCTAGTGGATCAGTCCATCTAGGATAAAATGTCTCCCAAGACACTCTCCGGGGTGAAGGTGTGTGGGACGAGCTGCAGCGACTGAAGGAGACACGGGGGGCTTTTAGGGATGTGCTGGCTGTTTCTTAGAGCAGCATCACCAGAACAGACGGGACGCCGCCGCCGAAGACTAGCGCAGTGCAGACCCCATCCATCCCTGCATGATGCACATTGAAGGCTAGAGACAGGCTCTGCCACAGCTTCCCACCAGAGCTGGGAATGGCTTGTAATGTCGTGCTCATCAGATGCAGATGTGGTTTCGTTTGCCCCCTTCGCATGCCTGGAGAGTGCAAAAGCACAGGGCCATAGAAAGTGGGGCCACCCACAGCATGAGAGCCAACCCCCAAAATGCAGGGGAGGAAGAGGAGGGCTGGTTGCTTCCTTATAATTATAGAAGATTAGGGTTGGAAGAGACCTCAGGAGGTCATCTAGTCCAGGGGTTCTCAAACTGGGGGTTGGGACCCTCAAGGGGTCACAAGGTTATTACGTGGGGGGTCGTGAGCTGTCAGCCTCAACTCCAAGCCCCACTTTGCCTCCAGTTTTTAATGTATAAGGGGGGGGTCGCACTCAGAGGCTTGCTGTGTGAAAGGGGTCACCAGGACAAAAGTCTGAGAACCCCTGATCTAGTCCAACCCCCTGCTCAAAGCAGGACCAACCCCAACGAAATCACCCCAGCCAGGGCTTTGTCAAGATGGGCCTTAAAAACCTCTCTGGATGGAGATTCCACCACCTCCCTAGGTAACCCATTCCAGTGCTTCACCACCCTCCTAGTGAAATAGTATTTCCTTATATCCAACCTAAACCTCCCCCACTGCAACTTGAGACCATTGCTGCTTGTTCTGTCATCTGCCACCACTGAGAACAGCCGAGCTCCATCCTCTTTGGAACCCCCTTTCAGGCAGTTGAAGGCTGCTATCAAATCCTCCCTCACTCTTCTCTTCTGGAGACTAAACAAGCCCAGTTCCCTCAGCCTCTCCTCATAAGTCATGTGCCCTAGCCCCCTGATCATTTTGGTTGCCCTTCGCTGGACTCTCTCCAATTTGTCCACATCCTTTCTGAGCTAGGTGGAGGGAGATGCGCTTAGAGCACAGGACATGTGGCTATAGCCACGCCAAGTGGGATATGTTCAGAGGAGAGAGCTAGGATGCAGTCAGGTCACAAAAGAGAACGCCACGTCCTACTTACTTTTTGTCCAAATAAGCCCTGGAAGGGAAAAGACAGAAAAAAACAAACATTCTCTGAGTTGGAAGATATAAACTGATTTGGGAAGACATACAACACCTGCAGCAATAAATAAATACATAGAATAATATGAATAAAACACTTTTCCTCAGCAGCTCTCAAAGCAATATGCAAAGGAGGTATCATTAGCCCCATTTTACAGATGGGGAAACGGAGGCATAGGGCAAGGCTGTCACACAGCAGGCTAGGGGCAGGGCCGGGAATAGAACTCAGGTCTCCTGAGTCCTAGGCCAGTGCTCTGTCCAGTAGGCCCTACTGCCACCCCTTTCACATCTGTATGGTGCCCAATCCCGAGCTACCCCATTAAGTGTCAGTCACTGCATCGCTTGTTACCAGCAAAGCACAATGAGCCCAGGGAATCCCAGGCTTCTGACGACTTGTGAGGTTAAAACCCAATATACATAATCTATCTCATCTGGCAGAATGTGACTTGCCCCATCCACCCCCACAGTCTAGAGGGAGAGTGTGAACAGCCCCACCAAGCCTGCCATAATACAGGAAGATGGGGGAGGCGGCCAGTTTGGAAGAGGGAGCAAAGTAGTTTCAAAAGAAACAATGGAAAGGAATGGAAAGTCTCTGACGGAGAAGAGTGCTGTGGAGGAGGGCTCCCCGAATCGTTCTGAAATGTCCCAATAATTATTATGATGTAACTAGTCATGCTACTCTCCAACTGGCTTCGGTGGACCGCTGTAAACCAGAGCATCTATCCAAGGGCACGAAGCAGTTGGCTGCCCATCTCTCACATGGTACCGTCATATGCACCCCCCCCCGGGACAGCGAAGGACTTACTGGCATTCCAGGGAAGCCGGAGGATCCCCGTGGACCAGGTGGGCCGATATTACCCTGCAAAAATGGCACAAGCTCAGTTGACAACATACTGCAGGAAAATGTGGGAAAAACCCATGGGTGCCCCTGGACCTGGGTTGCCCCATTAAGGGCCTTGGAGTTTACAGCATGCACTGAACCTCCAAGCTGCAGAGAGATTCTCCAGCCCTCAGGGCAAGAAAGGAACATCACTAACAAGAATACTTCGCACATAGTCAGCTGACGATCACACTGTACCTTCAACAATTAAACCTCACTACATCCATGAGGTTGATCCCAACCCTATTTGGAGTATAAAAAGGAAATGGAGTCCAATGAGATTAGAAGACTTGCCCAAAGTCAATAGAAAGGCAGTGTCAGAGTCAGGAATGGACCTGAGCACCGATTCCCAGTCCCCTGTTCTAACCACTAGACCCCACTGTCTGTTGGCAACTCTCCATCCTTTTGCAACGCCGGGAGCCGCATGCTGGGATACACATTCAAAGCCATTTCTCATTTTTCTATCTGCCACTGTATTTTGCAACAGCAACAAAAAAATGCCAAAAATCCACCCAAGCCAAATTCCAATTCCCTCCCTCCAATAACGTCGCTTCTGCCTGCACTCCTTTGTCCCTACCCCAAGGCACGTGCACTGCATTCCTCTTCTCACAGTCCAACCCCAGGCTGGGAACTTACCTTTGGATGAATTCATCGCTTCCCTCATGCACCTCCCTTTTCTCCCCAACATGTCTGGCTGGTGAGTCTTGCCCACATGCTCAGGGTTTAGCTGATTGCCATATTTGGGGTCGGGAAGGAATTTTCCTCCAGGGCAGATTGGCAGAGGCCCTGGGGGTTTTTCGCCTTCCTCTATAGCGTGGGGCATGGGTCACTTGCTGGACGATTCTCTGCACCTTGAAGTCTTTAAACCATGATTGGAGGACTTCAATGGCTCAGACATAGGTTAGGGGGTTGATACAGGAGTGCTTCTGTGGCCTGCGTTGTGCAGGAGGTCAGACTAGATGATCATAATGGTCCCTTCTGACCTTAAAGTCTATGATTCTATGATTGGGGCTACCAGCTAGTGCCTGAAAGCAGCCGTGCAAGCCAGCAGGGGGCAGGGCTGCACATGACTGCAGAACAATCTACACAAGAAGGGGAGGACAAGTTGAAGTCCTTTACCTGCTCTCCCTTTGATCCAGGCCTTCCAGGTGCACCTATGGGTCCTTGCTTGCCCTAAGAGATGCAACAGGTACTGAGTGAGCACCACAGTAGTTGAAAGAGGCAGGACAGGGAAAGGAAAGAAAAGAAAGAAATCACTATACATACCTTGAAGCCATCATCTCCTTGCGGGCCACGATATCCCTTGCTGCCTTTCTCACCCTAGAAGAGCCAATCATGGGCAGGAATTGGTAACAGCACAGACGACAAAACTCAACAGCCCTACAGCGGAGACGTGGGAAGGCCAGGTTCTAGCAGCCCTTTAATAATCAGTTTCTGGGAGATGGAGAGCGAGCTGGCGTGGAGGTTAGATACAGGGAACCATACTAACGTCAGTTATTACATCTCATTATGGCAGCCAAGGACTGAGGTTTTGTTGGCTGTAGGACAGGGGATTCTGAGACCAAAGGAGTTAATGCAGATGATCATCGGTGTAGGTTTTGCTGTATGTTTTAAGTACAAAGTATTGATAGATATTGATCATGTTCCCTGTACAGCTGTTATCATCAGATCGGTGAGCACCCTAAAGAGATTCAAAATCCTCCCTAGATGAGTAATCCACACAAATGCAAACCAAGATAAATGTTCTTCCTTCAGACTCAAACGCCGAGAGGAGGGAAACTGCAGAAATTAGCAGGAGGCCTAGATTGGTTCCACTTTCCTGATTACATGGGGTTTTCTCTTATGTTGATAGGCCAGTGGCAAATAGTCTGACCAAGAACCTCGAACTCATCCCATTGAGAGCAGAGGTGCGCTAACAGCGGCGCATTCAACACAAATCAGCCAAGCAGGGCCAGACAGTTCCAAGCCTGGTGAACCAGTGTTGTGATGCTGACAAGGGCAACTGGCTGAAAACTTTCTGGAGAAGTGCTTTCGTTTTTCAGGGGATTTCTGGGTTTGTTTGGTTGGTTGGTTGGTTTTTTTACGGGCGTGGAATGGCATTATACAATAAAACAGACATTCTTGTGATAAAAATGTCTTGTAAAAAAAATTTGGCAACCAAAAATCCAAACATTTTTGGTTTTAAACCATTTTTTTCCAGTTTTTTGATGAAAACCCAAGGAGTTTTCCAAGAAAATTTTGGATGAAAATTAAAAAATATACATATTGTTTACCGTAATTTTCCATGGTGAAAACCAAAACCAAACCAGTTGCCCAACCAGCCCTACTGACAATGCTTTAGGTTCTGTTACATTTAAAAGTTTTATTTATTACAGTGAGTTCTGAAGGTCATGAGCAACTGACTGGCACTGGGGAACACCGGTCACCCTTATGTACTGTATCCCAGCTGGCAGATAGGGCCATCAAGATATGCATGGGCTTCTTGCACCGTGGTCAAATCACGCACCTAATCAGTTCACAAAGAGACTATCTACCCACATGTGAAAGTCATCAGAAGTATTAGGAACAGGTGATGTGGGGATCGTATACTCCTAGGACTTGGTTTCAACCACCAGGTGACATGATGGGTAGGGTAAGACTGGTAACAGGCAAGGGAGAAAGGGAGGAGCCTAACATGTACATTTCTACAGGCTCATGGAAAGCGTTAGACATGGGTTACCATACGTCTGGATTTTCCCAGACATGTCCGGCTTTTTGGGACTCAAATCCCCGTCCGGGGGGAAATCCCAAAAAGCCGAACATGTCCGGGAAAATCCGGCGCCGGGGGCCGGGCCGGGGGCCGGCGGTGCTGGCTGGCGGCCGGGTCGGGGGCCGGCGGTGCTGGCCAGCGGGGCCGGGGGTGCTGGCCAGCGGGGCCGGGGGCCGGCGGTGCTAGCCTGGGGGTGCTCGGCAGGGGGCTGGCCCGCGGCTGGCACCCCGGGGCCGGCACCCCAGGGCCCGAGCCGAGCCAGGCTAGAGACGCCGGGGCCGGCCGCCGGACGGGGCCAGACTGGGCCGCGCCTCCTCCCCCCACCCCCCCAGCTTACCTGCTTACTGCTTCAGGCTTCCCGCGAATCAAATGTTCGCGGGAAGCAGGGGAGGGGGCGGAGTTGGGGCGGGGACTTTGGGGAAGGGGTAGAGTTGGGGCGTGGGCGGGGCTGGGGGCGGCGCCGGGGCCCCGTGGAGTGTCCTCCTTTTGGACACTCAAAATATGGTAACCCTAAGTTAGACCAACGTGCGAACAGGGCCGGTGCTACCATTTAGGCAAACTAGGCGGTTGCCTAGGGCGCCAAGATTTGGGGGTGCCAAAAAGCGGTGCCCTCAATTTTTTTTTTTACAGTGTTCCTATGCCCCCTCCCCGAGCGCGCAGTCACCGCTCCACTTCTCCCGCCTCCCAGGCTTGCAGCGCCAATCAACTGTTTGGCACCGCAAGCCTGGGAGGGGAGGAGAATTAGAGCAGGAGCGGTGTGCTCGGGGAGGAGGCGGAGCAGAGGTGAGCTGGGGTGGGAAGCTGCCGCACGGCTGCCCGGGGGTGGGGAGCTGCCGCGGGGGGGGGAGCTGCCACGGGGCTGGGGGGGCGCAAGGTGGAAGTTTCGCCTAGGGCGCGAAACTTCCTTGCACCGGCCCTGCGTGCGAAGAAGCAGGATGGCTAAGCTGGAAAGATTTTGAATAAGTGACTCTCCCGACTATGCTACCACGAACTAGCGTCATACTCCACCCATGCAAAGCCCCCACTAAAACATAGTGCTCAAGTGATCAGTAGAACAGAACACTACATACCTTCTGTCCTTTTGGTCCCTGGTCTCCCTTCACCCCTTTCAGTCCAGGAATCCCCTGTCGGGGGAAAAATGTAGCATCCATGTATCTCCATCAATTAGGACACTCTGACTACTGTTGAGTTAGTTACTTGCTGCTGAGAACTCTGCTAGGCAATAACACTTCTAGATGGGCTGAATGCCTCGTGTCCATGAGTATCTCTTCCCCCAACAAAGACCAACCTTGCCAGTAACAACTACTGCTGGCTGCCATTAAAGCTGCTTGAAATTTTATGAATTTTGCATTTTCAAATTTTTTTTTTTTGGATGAACAAAGACTTTCAACAGGAAAAATACATTTTTCCAACTGTTCTCATCAAAACTTTTCAAGTTCTTCAACTGGACCTTTTTTTTTTTTTTATAAATGATTGAAATTTCAACAAAACGTTTAAAAGTTTTTCAACATTTGGAAAAACTTGTAAAAAAAAATAATTCAAATTCACACACAATCTAAACAAAAAATATTGTTTTTTTGACCAACTCTAGCCGCCACATCTTGATCCCCGACCTGGAAGTGCTGTGTTCACGGAGGGCACTTCTTCTGGGAATGTGATTACATCACCTGCCTGACAGATCCATCCCAAGGCTGAGATGTTCTTCTCACACATCATGGTTGGTCAGAAAATTCAGGGATGGGATTTTGGAATTTTTTTTCCCTATAGGATGAACCTGTACAGGGGGCAAACAATCTAACTAATATTAAGATAGGGCGTGATACATTTATTAATAGGATTATATGATAGGGTGCTTGCATCAGCAGAGGACTTGACTTGACCCAGGCAGTCCTTGTTAGTCCTATGTCTGGTCATTTGTAGATGAACAAAACATGAAGAGCACAGGGATTGCCATAGCAACAGCTGGATATCAAAAAGGCAGCTTTTGCCTTCCCAACTGGGAAGCAGAAGCTCACACAAAGTGAAGGCTGCCCTGCTCCAGCCTAAAGACATGATCCTGCACCATCCAAGGGCATGCACTGACTATATGGAGCCCCATTGTGGTGCTCTCAAGCCAGCATGAATCAGGAGTAACTCCGCTGAAGACAGTGGCATTACAAGGGTGTCAAACCAATGAGAGAAGAATCAGCCCCATGGTGCTGGGAGAGCAGAGAACGCTCCCTGAGACAAGGTTCCAAGCAGTCCTGGACTCTCCACCTTTGTACAGCACCCAGCACAATAGGATCCCGGTCCACACAGAGCCTTGTAGCAGAGCCAGGATTTGAACTTTGCTCTCCTGAGTGCCTTACCCACAAGACTGCCCTTCCTCTCCCTTAGAAAGCTCTTCAGCACCATGTGCTCTAGGCCTAGAAAGAGTCATAGATTCCAAGGCCAAAAGGGAGCATTTTGATCAACTACCACAGGCCAGATCATGCGTACCACAGGCCAGAGAACTTCTTCAAAATAATTCCTAGAGCAGATCTTTCAGAAAAAAAACAAACCCAATCTTAATTTAATTTAAAACTTGTCAGTGAAAGAGCAGGCTCAGAAGAGACACCTATCCCATCTCTGTGGCCAATACTCACATAAGGTCCTTGTGGGCCACGTGGTCCCTCTGACCCTGGTTCACCTGGATGGCCCTGGAAGGCAGAAGGAGAAGAGACCCATCTCAGTGTCACAATAGAACAGCAAGGTAGGAACAATTCCATGGGTGTTTCTTGTGCAGAAAGAAAGCTGAGTCTTGCGGAGATGATGCAAGTGCCAGAAAGATGGGAACAGGTCCTGGGATCCACGCTTTCGGTAAGAGGAGGAGAAAGGATTTGCCCCAGGTGATTCCTCTACAGAGTAAGAGTGGGGACAAACGGCCATATGCAAGATGTGGGGACAGTTTGTGAGGAACAGGACATACTGCTCCCACATACATCACTGCTCCATGAGCAGCCTAAGGCAGGTAAGGTGCTTCCCCTCCAGTTTCTCTACTGGCTCCTCCCCCCCTTGCCACATGGACAGATCAGCTCTCAGCGGGATTTCCGGTGATGCTAATCAGGCTCTTACCGTTTCATTGCTGTGAAAACCCTCAGCATAGGGGAAAGAGAAAGAGAATTCAGAGACACCGAACCAGCAGTGGCACAGCTGGGACAGGCCTATGCAAGAGCATCTAACAGGCTTGGTACCATAAGGGGCTATCAGATCAGGACTTGCAAATCCAATCCATTCAGAGACCTCTGGTGCCTGGAATCCTGACCAGGACGACAGGAAAATCCAGTCCAGTTTGCCCCATGGCTGTCCAAGGTGACTGTCAATGAAACCTATAATGGACCCAGACTTAGCCCTGGCATGACAGGCCAAGGAGAAGTAGGTGACATGGATCTGTCTGCCCAGCGGAGTCTGGGCACATCCAACTGGTGATAGCTACACAACCATGCCTAGCGCAGTAGCTGTGCAGAGCGCTCCCCGAGCCTAAGGGCCGTGCTAGCTCAGCACTGTAAGGGCTAGTGCAGCCCGGGCAAGGCTAGACATGTCAAGGCGACGGGAGACCGGGACTGTCGCCTGGCACAGCTGGGAAAGGACAAGAGAAACAGCTGAGTTTCCTACCTTGGGCCCCTTGGGGCCTCTTGGGAGCTTGCGCCCAGCTTTGCCTCGCTTGCCCTGCGCAACGATAGAGAACTGGAGTTTGTGAACAAAGTCATGTGAAAATCAACGCTGGCTCCTGCTCAACTCTGCTCCTCACCACCACAGTCCGCCCGGGGGTCGCCCCTAAAGCTCCTCACTGCTAAAGTACCCCAGCATCACCCCCAGCAACGGTATCCTCTCCCCATCACTACAGTATCCCGTCCCCACGTCACCCGCAAACATGCCCCTTTGCAAACTGCCCTCATTCCATGCTGCTCACGCAGGAGCGAGAGGAATTAACTCCGACCGTTCACACTGGGGTTAGTGTTCACCACCAGCACGGAGCAGCCGCTAGCAGAGGACGCAGAGCACGCGGCAGGGAAGATAATGCCACCTTACCCGTCTGCCCGGATTGCCAGGGAGGCCCTGATCTCCTTCGTGCCCGCTGTTCCCCTAAGGAAACAGAAACACACACACGGCAAGTCACCAGCAGCTCTGATGAACCGCCAGAAAGGGGGCAAAGGCTCCTCCCTACCGACCCAAGGGCGCTCGTTCGCTGCTACAGCATCCCTGGGATAGATGGGCTCATAATCTGACCCATAACCCCCTCTCGCTGAGAGCATCAGGACACGGGTGCAATCACCCCTCTTTCACTGTACACGCTCTCCCATCAGGAAAGAGTCGCTGTCCCTGGGAGCGAGGGGAGAGACTATCTGTAATCATTACTTTTCTGGCGGGAGTAAAAGCAGGCCCGAAAGCCTGCAGAGCACTCGGCGGCTCACCTGCTCTCCCCTTGCAGGGCCAACTGCACTCATCCTAGGTTATTGCGCAGCGTTGCCGCGTGCCCCAGAGGTGGCTGCATTTCAGTAGTGGGTGCTACGAGATCTTTTGGGGCGAAAGGAGCTATATAAACGAAAGAGTTGCCAGCAGGAAGCCACGTGTCAATGGCACCTGTTACTCCGACGGAAGAGTCCCTGGCACCGAACCCCCAAAGGTTAGTGCTCTAGAGACACAGAGCACACCATTAGTTGGGCCGAGGCCTTGGTATTCTACAACAGGAGCTCTCCATTGGGAGGAAGGGTCCTTCCCCATCTGAAGAGCAGACAACGACTTATGAAGATACCTTTTCTCCTTTACGACCCCTCTGTCCCTCCGGACCCAGCTGTCCTCGAGGCCCCTGAAGTCAAAAGGGAGAAAGAAACGTCTCTCCGGGAACACCACTAACTCCCCAAGGAAGGGGGGGGTCTCTTCAGCGATGCTCCCTAACGCAGTACCCTCACAAAGCAGTCCAATGCCCTTCCCTCCTTGAGGCCTGTCCCCACCCCTGCCCACGCACACCTGGTTCTTTCTCCCCATTTCTTAGCAGGGCTTGTAAAAGCCCAGGGGGTGGCGGGGAGCAGGGGCATGAGACAGCGCAGGGATTTTTACCCAGCCTGATAGGGGCCAGGTAAGTCTTCAAGCCCCACTCCCAAAGAGGCGCTGGGGTCATGCTTTCAGGGAAGAAAAGGAGGCATGAAATGTATGCTTGCAGGGAGAGGGGCCAAGCCGGCACCAGGGCTGCCCAGAGGATTCAGGGGGCCTGGGGCAAAGCAATTTCGGGGGCCCCTTCCATAAAAAAAAGTTGCAATACTATAGAATACTATATTCTCGCAGGGGCCCCTGTGGGGCCCGGGGCCTGGGGCAAATTGCCCCACTTGCCCCCTCCTCTGGGCGGCCCTGGCCGGCACATGGCACACCTGCCGTTCTCTGCCCTCACCGTTCGTCCTGGTTCTCCTGGCTCCCCCAGCTTCCCCCTCTCACCCGGAGGGCCCTAATGGAACAAACAGATGAACACTCCATTACATTCACATCTCCCTAAAGAGCATATCCAGGTGACCCATCCTTCTAGATCCCTCCATGGCCCTCACCACACTCCTATCCAAGCACATCACAGTCAGGAATGGATTTTGTCCTCACAACACCCCTGATTGGCAGGTAAATAAGTACAGAGAGGGGCAACTACCACTGGGATCCTGGCGGGAAACAAGGGGTTGGGAGGGGGACAGGGTCTAGGAGCTAGTTGGTGCGGGGTAGACTGACACTGGCTGAGGAGACAAGGAGAGACAGAATGGGTGGGGAAGGAGACAGACTGAGAACCAATAGGGGCGGGAGGAAGGAAGGAGAAGAGGGAACGGGGGAGACAGATCCGATGAGCAGACAGGGTGTGGAGGGAGAACTAGGGCTGGCTGGGCAAAGAGACTGGGACAAGAAGCCTTGGCAGGGAGGGGACAGTCTCTTTCACTGCACAGCCTTGACTCATCCCCAAGCAGGTCCAGCCTGTGCACTGAGTGAGGCCGGAGTCCTGTGGAAAAACTAAGCCTGTCATCATGCAGTTAAAGACACATCACAATGCATATGCAGACGGGGGGCAAATTAAGCTTGCGCGGGCAACCAGAATTCTGATATTTCCTAGCTTTTGAGTGCTTGGCTTTGCAATCAGAATGGGTGTGTGTATGTGTGTGTGTGTGTGTGTGTGTGTGTGTGTGTGTTTATGCCCAACATTTATGAGTGTGGTGGACACACTGCTGTACAACAGAATTCCACGTTATCAAGTGCAATCTGCTTGTATCATAGAATCATAGAATATCAGGGTTGGAAGAGACCTCAGGAGGTCATCTAGTCCAACCCCCTGCTCAAAGCAGGACCAATCCCAACTAAATCATCCCAGCCAGGGCTTTGTCAAGCCTGACCTTAAAAACCTCTAAGGAAGGAGATTCCACCACCTCCCTAGGTAACCCATTCCAGTGAAACCACCCTCCTAATGAAATAGTGTTTCCTAATATCTAACCTAGACCTCCCCCACTGCAACTTGAGACCATTGCTCCTTGTTCTGTCATCTGCCACCACTGAGAACAGCCAAGCTCCATCCTCTTTGGAACCCCCCTTCAGGTAGTTGAAAGCAGCTATCAAATTCCCCCTCACTCTTCTCTTCTGCAGACTAAATAACCTCAGTTCCCTCAGCTTCTCCTTGTAAGCATGTGCCCCAGCCCTCTGATCATTTTTGTTGCCCTCCGCTGTACTCTCTCTGATTTGTCCACATCCTTTCTGTAGTGGGAGGCCCAAAACTGGACGCAGTACTCCAGATGTGGCCTCACCAGTGCCGAATAGAGGGGAATGATCACATCCCTCGATCTGCTGGCAATGCGCCTACTAATGCAGCCCAATTTACCGTTAGCCTTCTCGGCAACAAGGCCACACTGCTGACTCATATCCAGCTTCTCACCCACTGTAATCCCCAGGTCCTTTTCTGCAGAACTGCCGCTTAGCCAGTCAGTCCCCAGCCTATAGCAGTGCATGGGATTCTTCCTTCCTAAGTGAAGGACTCTGCACTTGTCCTTGTTGAACCTCATCAGATTACTTTTGGCCCAATCCTCCAATTTGTCTAGGTCACTCTGGACGCCTATCCCTACCCTTCAGCGTATCTACCTTCCCCCCAGCTTAGTGTCATCTGTGAACTTGCTGAGGGTGCAATCCATCCCATCCTCCAGATCTTTAATGTCGTTCACACTCGGCCATTCACCTAACCATTCTGAAACATTGGGTACAGTCCCAGCCATCTTCCCTCACCACGCCCAAACCCTGTTCATACTTCTGATCACAGGCTCACCATGAGGGCAGCCACAAACCACAAGCTCCATATTTGCTGAAAAAGCAGTAAAGGGGTCCACTCACTTCAACACCACTTAGCCCTGCTGCTCCCGCTTCTCCAGGTGGCCCACGAGAACCCTGAATTCATTGGGGGGAAAAACACAACTGACATTAGCTTCAGGTGAATCAGAGGAAAGGCAGTCTAGTGATTAAAAATACTTGGGAGTCAGGAGCTCTGGGGTCTCTTCCCAGTTCTGCCACTGACCGGTTACTGAGTGACCTTGGGCAACTCATGCAGGCTCTCTGTGCCTCAGTTTACCCATCTGTAAAATGGGGATACCACCTCCCACCTCATAGGGAAGTTATAAGGCTTAATTCAGCCATATCAATCATTTTGTGCTCTGGAACGGAAAGTCACAGAGCGGCACAAAGTTATTAATGCATTTGTTTGATGCTTGGACTTGTATCTTGATAGCTACCATGGCAGATCATTACCCTGACTGCTAGTGATGTCCACAAATAATAGGGTTTGCACACGTCACCTCCAAAGATGCACGTGGGAGGGCTGTGAGTAACCAACTTGCATCATAGCTCAAAGCCCAGGCAAGAGATGAGGACACTTTGCCCATACAGCCCAGGATAGGACTCAGAGATCAAATCCATCCTGCACTAAAGCAACCCAGGGTGTGCGCCTGTTACATGCATCTTCCTTCTGGGGTTGGGGCGAAGGGAGCTAAGCAAAATGTGTGGATCTTTAGGAGCTCAAGCACTGAGAGAGGGTGCAGTGAGGGGAATCGTCTCACAAAGGCGGGAGGGAGGGTGGTGGATAAGGTTACCTGATGGCCAGTCTCTCCTTTTCCCCCTGCATCTCCTCTGGGTCCTTCAGGCCCGCCAAAGCCCTTGAGTCCTTGGCTCCCACTTTCACCCCTGGAGCCTGCTGCACCCTAGAGTGCATAGAAAAGAGAGATGCAGACGCCTTATGGACTTAATTCATAGCATCACCAACCTGACCCAACCCGGTGACACTACATGAGAGAGTGGAGAGGAGACAACACTGGTCTCCACCGTCTTGTCCTTCAGAGCATGGTTGTGGAAATGTCAAAAGCGAGAGCTCCTGGAGAACGATTTGATAAAACCACAAACGGCTTGCAAAACAGCAGCAGATAATTGAGGCACCTAACTGGACCACGATCCACACTTCACTCAACTACGAGGGTGGTCAGCTGTGGATCTCAGTCAGGATTGGAGCTTCACATCTCAGAGCCAGGTCTCTCTGTGAACTGGACATATTCTGGAAACCACAAATTCGCCTTGTTGCTCACTGATGTCCAACTCTAGCCTAGCTGGGGTTTTTGTTGTTGTAAAGGTCTAAGCAACATTTCTCAGAAATCTTTTAAGCTTTCTTTTATTTGATACAGTTTATTTCACTTCCTCTCTTCTCTTTGCAAATGGAATTTATTGAACTAAAGAAACCATTCGTCGTCATGGAGAGATGAGTTGCCATCCTAGACAATGGGAAACCCAGAACCCAGACCAAGATGGATTTCTTCAATTAAGCTGCACAGCATCATCAGTACATCTGCAGTGCTTTGTAAATGTCACCTTTGCAATCATTAAATGTCATCGGGTGCAGCCTTTATCATACAGTGCATGAAAGGAAGCGGGGTGGTTATCTGCCCTTTTTAATTTGAACTGAAGAGGACAGTGAGCGCTTTAAGAATATGGCACTGCTGTCTGGGCACTGGGCTATCTGCGATGTGCATTTCTGGTGACCTTTCAGATCCCAACAATTCAAGCATCCTTGTTCTACGACAGCAAAAATGAAACAAAATGTATTGTGTGTGTTTGACAACAGACACTGGTAACTAATTGCACCATTACAGCAGCACTTTGGCACGTGTCTTATTGGCAACCATATTTAAAATGCTTTTAGCTGATTATAGTTCTGCAGAAATCAAGGAAATAAGGACTTGATTGGAAAGTATTTACCTGAAGGGATCCCTTCCTGGCCATCCTTTCACATTTTCACAATGCCCCTTCACAGAGCAATTGCATAGTGGCATTACCATAAACACAACCGTTTTGTCTCGACCTGGGACATTAATGTCCTGTTTGGATCTAGATTCTGAAGCACCAAAAAGTCAGGGATGCTAGGCTGGGCCAATTTCTCTTGTCCCGTAATACAGTTAGCATCGGCAGGAGCAGATTATTTCAGTTAGAGCAAGCAAAACATTGCAATGACTTTTCATTTTGCATTGGAGACTAGACAACTTCTATATACCTCAGTCCTAAGCCTCCTAGGCTGGGACATGGGGATGCTTCAGAACTGACCTGAACCCTAACCCAAACCTGGAAGCACCCTTGAGGTTTGAAAAAGTTAGTTTCCATCTTGCCCCGCTTTCAGAGCTGCTCCGATTTCACCCAGGACAAGAAGAAAAATCCCCAAGAAGCTTGTGGAAAGGCTGTTTACAGCCTAGGTGGAAATAAAGAGGCAACAAAGCCTGCTGCCATGAGAGTCCAGCCTGGTTTGTTGCACTCAAGGGCTGAGACAGGCCAGCTAAGAGTTGGTTCCATTCAGCAGCACCCTCTTCCCTACCGAACAAACCATTCAACTACAACGTAAGAAAAGAAATCAGGGCGAGAATAAAGTATTAAAGAGCCAGGTTAAAAGAACAGCCACCTTAAAAACTGCCAGGAGCTTCTTTGAAGGACACCAGAGCTGATCTCTGAACACTCCCCAATCTCTGCTCTGGAGCAGGATTTAGTACTTACGGCAGGCCCTGGCTTGCCTCGCTCTCCTTTTCTTCCATCTTCCCCAGGGACTCCCTGCAGTAACATTTAAGAATTAAATGTTAAATGGGGGCAGGGATAGCTCAGTGGTTTGAACATTGGCTCAATCCTTGAGGGGGCCATCTGGGGCAAAGTCAGTACTTGGTCCTGCTAGTGAAGGCAGGGGGCTGGACTTGATGCCCTTTCAGGGTTCCTTCCAGTTCTCTGAGATAGGTATATCTCCATATGTTATATTATTATTAACGTGAATCTGACTCTCACCAGTTTGATGCATTCATTGGTATCTCTTATTAGGATACTACCAAGCATAGCGCCATGGAGACTGGTACCCTGGCTGGTAGTCTCAAGGTCTACACCCCAAATGAAGGTGTGATTGCAGTGGGGGTGACTTTAAGCTAGCGTTAGTGGGGATATGGCAGTGCCGGCTAGGTGACCCAGTAGAAGCACACTAGGGACTATGGGTATGTACTCAGGTTGTTGGCTTCCACTGGGGTCCATGCCACCACACCTTCACTGCAGGTCAAGCACTGAATAGCCCATGGGAAAAAAATTGCCCTGTTTCTCTCACAGATGCTCCCTGAGAGAAGCACGTTGATGGAGGGCTTGCACGGCTGCTATCCATTTATTGTATCAGTCTCATGGACAAATATGGGAATAAATATGGGATGATTTAGTTGGGGATTGGTCTTGCTTTGAGCAGGGGGTTGGACTAGATACCTCCTGAGGTCCCTTCCAACCCTGATAGTCTATGATTCTATGAATAAAGAGAGGATATCTGTCTCCAGGGATGTCAGGCCAGCCTGTTACAACGCTCTTGTAAAATACAGTGTCCCAGCGCTAGTGTCTGTAAGACGACGACTGGAGAAACGAACATGACTGAAGTATGGGGAACAGAGTTTCAGAAGCGCCTACTGCTTTGTGTTGCCCGACTTGAGACACCGTAAAGGAAAGGGGCCCGGTTTTCAGAGTCCAGTGCCCAAGTTGGCCACCTAAGAACTGAAGCATCCAAAAATCACTAGTCACTTCTGAAAGTCCTGGCCTGGGCTGGGCAGGGGGAACTCTTCTAGTTTTCATTTCAGAGGGCGACCGTGAGGTGTGCCTTAGACTGCACACTGGGGTTCTGCAGGACGCCAGTGACGATTACCTCCAATCCAGCCACACCAGCTGGGCCAATCAGTCCACTTGGTCCTGGATCACCCTGGGGAAAAATAATGGAATAGTTCTTATCCTGCCCTCTGGAACCTAGGCCACTAAGACCTTTGTGGGGCTGCCCCAGCCCTCTCCCCTTTGATCACCAAACCCAAAGGGACGCGGATTGATCCCTGGCAGAGGCAGCCTGCGTTACAAGCCTGCCATTGAAAATCTCTCTCCATCGGGTATGCTGAGCTGGTAACTGCCTCTTTCTTGCAGCAGACTGCATTGGAGGAGGGGACCCTCCCTTCATACTTCAACTCACTGGTAGCTTTTCCTGGTATCCCAGGGCTAGAAATCAGGGCTCGGGAAATGAGTAAAACAGAGGAAGGGGAGCTTTCCGTTCTTAAATTTCACTGGCTTCTCTATGTCACAAGAGGAGTCCTCTTTATGGTTGTCTAAGCCCTCTCAGATCCCAGGAAAGCAGCTCTGCTGGTCACCAAACCACGCACAGCTCTCCAATGCCTTTCAGAAATGCCACCTCTCCCACCTCGTAAAGCTCATTATCACAATGGGGTGGAGGTGGGTGAGGCTATGTCAGACTTTATCGCTTCTTCTCAGTACCTTCTCTCCCTCAGGGCCAGCTAACCCGGGGGGACCTAGGATGCCTGCTTCACCCTGTCACGAAGGAAAAAATAGGTCACATCCATTCAAAATAGCCATGCCTTACACAGAGGAGCCAGTTGCCATCTGATGGTCAAGTAACATGCATGACCCCCAGATTTCTACATCAGAGACCTTGCAACCAGCAAAGGAAGGAGGAATAATACAAGTTAACATACAATTCGTCCTCTGGCTCCGGCAGGTCCTGCAACCCCGATCACACCGACCTGGCCCTGTGGAAGGAAGGGAAGTGTTACTTATTAGAACCCTGACAGAGCTCTGAAAACTGAGACCGGAGCTTGACCTGGCTGCTGAATCCAGCATTAATCTAAAATGCCCTGTACAGCGGCAACTGCATTCGAGCCAACTGTCACTGCGACAGAACCTGCAGATAACGGCGCCACAGGGAAAACCCACCAAAGGCTGAAATCTCATCCCAATAGGTTCACAGGGAACCAAGCAATTGCCTGGAGAGTGACAGACTAATGGATAATGTCAACATGGGCGACAGGGCACAGAAGCAAACCCAATAATTACCCTAATGGGCAACCCCAAGAACACACCTGGATAGAGGCGAGAGAGACACTCACAGACAAGATATTCTAAACTGGGAGCAAGAAACATGCATGGATATTGACAGACCAGTTTTTTCTCTCAGTAAGACACACCAGGAACTCAAATAGCTACAGAGAGAGAGACTCAAAAATTAGTGCTGAGACTTAAAGGCACATAAAGGAGAAGCCCCATGGAGACGTGCTCATGGTTGTGTGTCAAGTGACCCTCTGGCTCAAAATGTGGAGTTTTTGCCTGCTGATAGTTTTGGCACAAAGCCGCGCATAACGTCAGCATCTTGAACATGTCAGTGCGAAAACTGCTCTGTCAGAATGAACTTTCTAATTTGAAAAGCCCTGACACCATCTCATTTTGGTCAAAAAGAGGAAAATATGTGTTAAAATAGCCCATTTTTGCTCACAAATGCATGTATTTTTTTGGGGGTGGGAGGAGGTGCAAGCTTTCCCCCAACTCTATCCCCTCACCCCCAAATTGGACTAATTTGATGAAACCAAAACATGACATAAACATCTCCAATTTTGGAGGTTTTCCAATTTCCCTGGGAATGTTTTGCATGGTCCTTGGCAAACCTCTGGTTTCCTGCTGGGTGGCCAAGCAACAGCTAGACCTAAACTCCCACCCTCATGGGAAATCCTGGGGTTCCTGCCAGGGCCCAGCGACCCACATGGAGAGAGAGGTCATCGCTGTACTTGCCAGTAAACCTTCTTGCCCCTTCTCTCCTTTAAGTCCCTTTTCACCAGTTTCTCCCATAACGGCACCTGGTCCAGGCATTCCAAGAGGGCCCCTGGGGCCGGGGTCACCCTGTCCATTAGTGAAAACAGATGCGTTATTACAAAGACCTGAATGAGTAAAATCAACTGCAATTAAATGAGCCAACAATTAAATGGCATCTAAATTAACACTTAATGCATGTTTTAAACTCATCTTGGGTGCCAAGCACGTGGCCCTACATCATTAACACACAAGAAAGAGGATTATAAGAATCCCGGCTTTATTTGTAAATCTCAGTCTTTAAAACTACAGCCCTCCAGTGGCACCTCTCCAGCATCTCATCTGGGGACCAACAGATACTTTACTAAGGTGTGTGAGAGAAACAGGGGCTGAGCAGGCCACGAGTGGCAATGTAGGTTCTCAAAGGGAAAACATAAAAGAAGAGATCTCCCCACCTTTTTGCCCCTGGTCCCGGGCTCCCCCATATCTCCGGGCTCCCCGATGTCACCCTGCAAAGAAGGAGAAGCAAACTCTTTAGCCCCAGTTCAGCGAGCACCCATGTTCTGCACCAGGTGTGTCCTCTCGATGCTCATCAGTCCCTGAAGATTGAGGCCTCTTACATTGATTCTCCATTGCTACAGCAAAATATTCTTCAGCCTGTGATATGAATTCTGGTGAAAGTGTTGTAGGCACCACAAAGTCATAGAAATGTAGGGCTGGAAGGGACCTCAAGAAGTCATCAAGACCAGCCCCCATGCGCTGAGGCAGGACCAAGTAAACCTAGACCATCTCGAAGAGGCGTATGGCCAACCTGTTCTTAATAACCTCCAGTGATGGGGATTCCACAACCTCCCTCGGAAGACTAGTGCAGAAGTTAATCACTCATGGTTAGAGAGTTTTTCCAGACACTTAATCTAAATCTCCTTTGCTACGGACTAAGCCAATTACTTCTTGTCCTACCTTCAATGGACATGGAGAACAATTAATCAGAGTCCTCTTTATATCAGTCCTTATAGTCATAGGGACGTCGGGTGAATTAATGGGGCATGACAAGTTATAACAAGATCCAATGACTGAAAGCTGAACCTAGACAACTTCAGACTGGAAATAAGGTGCACATTTTGAACAATGGGGGTATTTAACCATTTGAACAACTTATCAAGGAGCATGGTGGATTCTCCTTCCCCAGACATTTTTAAATCAAGATCGGATGTTTTTTTTCTAAAAGATCTGCTCCAGTTCAAACAGGAATTAATTGAAGGAGGTCCTATGCGGGTGTGTTTTGCAGGAGGTCAGACTTGATGATCACAATGGTCTCTTCTTGCCTTATAATCTATTAATATGAATCTATGTGTTTACCTACAGCCAGGCTTCCTTCTATCCCAAAGTCCCCAGGACAACACTTGAGTCTATTTTGCATGCAATGCACATGTGTAATTTCGACCAGCACCAGCAGGAGTTATTAGCACATCCAAGTAGCATCTTCTATCCCTTGGCCCTGGCAGGGAGATCTGCCAGCTCTGTCGTTGCCGCATGATGGAATTCCAGTAGTTTGTAACAGAGTTTTAGAGCTGGGGCAGTTTCTTTAGACTCATTTGTAGCATTACTGTGCCTCAGGATGGGCAGGGTAGTGGTTTTGATATTACACAGCAGATGCAGAGTGGCTACCAAGGTGAAATGGTCTGAAATTGCTAAGCCTACTCCGAAGCAAGCAGGAGATGGGAGCAGAGGGGGCTGGCACAGAATCTTACATGGCCTTGGCCCCTCACGAGCCAGTGGAGAAGGTTGCCATACTGGGAAGTTCAGAAACCCATGGACAAATCCCAAATACCCATCACTGGGTATAGCCGGCCCCAAATTTTCCATTTTAAATGGAAAATTGGGTTTTCAATATGAGAATTTTCACAGAAAGTGTAAAATTTCCTTTAAAAAAATTAAAATAAAATACAGTTTGGGTTGGAAAACTGAAAATCTAATTCTCTTTTGGCTGAACCCCCCCCACCCCCTCCTGTTTTCAGCCAAAATGATTTTTCAGAAAAAAAAGGGTTTCTGGTGAGAAATCAAAATTGCCAACAGAAAAAAACAAACAAACCATTTTCCAATCAAGTTCTCTCTGACGTTCATCTAACCTAACATGGATGAGCCCTGTTCCTAGTGCCACACCAGACGTTACTTGGACTGCCATCCATCACGGTAGGATCTGAGCGCCTTCCATTTAAAGTCAAGGGCAGTAGCAAAGTTCCTAGTGGACTTCATGATGTCTCTAGCTCTTCTTCCTTTCCTGGGTCAAAGCTCTGCTTGCTACCACCGCAAGTAACATCCTGTCCTGAAAGGAGCAGGAAATATATAGGAAAATAAGCTGGTGGAGATGGCCAGTGCTGGTCCCCAGCTGAAGACCTATGTGACCATGCCACCCTCTCCCTGACAAGACCTCCCCAAGCCCATCTCAGAGCCCTCTGTTTAGCTGGGTCTAATAATCCAGCCATCCAAATCATTTCTCCCTGGTTGCTCAACCTTGCTCCCCTCTCGCGTCAAGGATCACAACTGCAGCCTTCTCTAGGGGGTTACAGTGACATGGCTACCATGGTGGTGGGCCACCTGTCAGAGAATGCCTGAGGTGTACCTCTTTTCCTAGTTCCCCAGGTCTCCCAGGGTGTCCCTTCGGCCCGTCCTCTCCTGGCTCCCCAGAGCCTCCATTGACACCTGGAGCCCCTGGGATTCCTGCCTCTCCCTGGAAAGGAGGAAGAAGACAAGTATTATTAGCCAGCCGACCTTACCAGCTGTGTTCTGGATATCTGCTTATTGTCAATATAAATCATTAACGCCTCAGCAAGCGGATAGATCCTGACATCTGGAAAGCAGGGGGTAAGGCTGGTGGGTTTCCAATCCAGCAGACACTTGCTATAATTTGTAACAACAAACAGAGGAAAATTCCCAGGAAGAGTAACTTAGACATGCGGCCTGGGGTTTCCTGAAGGGTGATGGTCCTCCCCTGAACCACAATGGGAGAACAAGGTGGCTAACGGCTGAGGCTGCCTGGGGAGGGTGGATTCTGGAGAACAGTGATTATTTACGAGGCACAAAACAGTAAATGAATGATAACAAAGGAAAAGTACAGCTGCCGGAGGCTGGTGTCTTCTGTCGGCTGCCATGGACGGAACACTCTCTCCCCAGGCACCTGCACTGAAGGAGTTAGGTGCCCAACTCCCACTGGAAACATCTATGAGAACTGGGCACCTAACTCCTTTAGACGCTTCTGAAAATCTCGCCCATGAGCACTGACGGTAATGACGGATGAACCGCAAAAACTGGGAGGCTTGGCTGTTTATTCCAAACCCTACAAGTGTGCCAACTGGCCTTGGAAAGCGTGAGTGTGGTAGAGCTGCCGGTGCCGCTCTGTATGCAGAGTGGAAAAATCTGTAAGAACTCACTGGTGTGTTTCCATTGTGCAAGCAGAGCACGGCATGAAAAGGGAACTAAGTGAGGGCTCTTTCATTTGCAACAGCCTAAGCAGTTGTTAGTCACACGGATAAGGATGATTTTTTTTTAAATGCCTGATTATTAATTGCAGGTTAAGGCCTCCCTTTAAGTTCCCATTTCTGTACGGTCTAGAACCACAGATACAGAATGAGCATAAAAGCATGTATGGGAGCACAGGGATTCCTGCAGCTACATGTGCCAGGGCAACTCGAGTTCCAAAGCACCATGGAGGAATTTTATACAGGCTTCTGCCCACAAATCCAGGTCAGGAATCCAGTTACCTCAAGGATTTCAGCTTCCTAAAACCTGGTTTTAGAACGCATCTTCAGTACTGACCTGCTCCCCTTTGGACCCAGGCTGACCTTCCACTCCAGGGAGTCCCGGGGAACCCTACGGCAGGAAAATAGATCAGCTCGTAAATGTTTTAAAGAGTTTATGTACCCTTTGGTAGCATACACTGAATAGCAACACACCTGCGACTCAGTGCTGCTAGAACAAGAGCAGGGCTTCGTGGTGGGCCCAGTAGATGAAAACCTAGAGAGGACACCCATGGGAGTTATAGATGAATATCCCCAATTGGTCTTCTCTGGGGCAGGTTGCCATGGTGATGGAAGCCATCTTGGCTGACACACCAGGGACTGAACTGGGGACTCCAGAGCTAAACGCTTGAACTAAAGAGCCACAACTCCTCAGCTGGGGCTGTTACAGACTCTGAGTGGGACCTGCAACACACTCACCAGCAGATTACACCAAATCCTGCCTTGCAGACATTATTTGGCTGAAGGCTGCCCTGGGGCAGCACTACTACTCAACTCCGATAACTAAGATGACAAGAAAGTCTTGACTCTCACAGCTTTTCTTCGGAACAAGCAGCCCTCAAACTCGACTTCTCCCGGCAGCTGGAAGCCAAGGGGAAGGGGGATTGAAAAGTCCAGAGAGAGGGACATTAAAAAGGGGACAGAGGACATGATTTCCTGAGCTATTTACCAGTGTTGCCTAGTGGATTGAGCACTGGACTGGGACTCAGAAGACCTGGGTTCTAGTTCCAGCTCTGCTACTGGCCTGCTGGGTGACCTTGGGCAAGTCACTGCACTGTGCCTCAGTTTCCCTCTTCATAAAATGGGGATAATGATCCTCTGGGATCTACGGATGAAAAGTGCTATATAAGAGCTAGGCATTACCACCATACCTGCTCTCCATCCAGGCCTCTGATGCCAGCTTCTCCCAGCTGTCCCACTTCACCCTAAAGAAACAGGACATGCAACAGAGCAACTAATCTTAGTGTGGATTTGCACCGAAGAGTCTCCATCCTTCAAGCTTTTGCAGTACCATGGTCTGAACTTAGCATCACCAAGCTGTAACGTCTGAGCACAGATGTGCTGGAAGAGTTTGCAGGGGTTTACTCCTCATTGTAGCTGATGCTCCTACCTACATTTCTCCATGTTAGTATTCTCACCCCCTCCCCAAATAATGGGGGGAGGAGGGTTTGGGGGGTGTGCATTAGTGCGTCTCAACCTGGGCAGGTATCCCCCATTAATAAGAAGGAATAGCACTCATCTGGGGCATAATCAGGGCTGCTGGAGGAAAGCAACAGGCTCAGGAGATCTGGGGCAACAAGCAGGAGATCTGGACTCAGAAGTGACCGGGGTTGGGATGCAATACTCGAGAGGAGGGCAGAGGGGTGAGCGCTCCAGAGGGGAGAGCTACTGGTCCATGTGAGCTCATTGCACGTGGGTACGTCCATGAGAAGCAAAGGGGTAAAGTTATCAGTGTTACCGGTGTGGAAGCAGAGAAAAGAATTGACAGAAGGGAACTGCAATGCATGACGGTTCTTAACAAAAGTCAGGCTTCGTTAACAAGACTCAGTCTTGTTAGCAAGAGTCAAGCTAGCAGTGACCCTGATAGCCCTGATAACGCGAGATTTATAGAAGCGAGGAATGTGTAAGGAGGGTGAGGAAGAACTGTGTAATAAGTCATCATGACCTGGTATGTATAGATAAGGTGTAGGAGACCTTGTGTAGATAAGGTATAGAAAATATTGTATGTTAGCAGGAGTCAAAACAATTGAGAGATGTAATGTCAAAGAGACAAAATGCAGCTGTCTGTCCCTCATTATTTCTGTAATGAAATAGTATAAATGCTTGCTGTAATTAGGTATCAGAGAGAGAGAGACCTGCTTAGCTCTCTCCCTCTGCACACTGTGAGAGTTAATAAAGCTTCTGACTTGCTGTACCCGAACGAAGAGTGAGAACTCAGTTTTTCTCCGACACCGGAGTGAGGCTGCAGGGGGCGCGGGAAGGTGTGTGGGTGCTATAGCTCAACCTCCTTCTGTCCCCCTAACGCTCTCACTTTACCCATTGGGCACAATGCACCGTTTTCCCTAAGTGGGGATTCCAGCCTCCGCCCCCCAAAGACGACCGCAATCTGTTTGCCATGGGAAGAATAATTCTAACGTGTAAGGAGAACAATTCTGTGGAGATGCACTGCGTCTTGTTCCCCACCCACCCACCCACCGCGTCTTGTTCCCCACTCACACACACTGCGTTTTTTTCCCCACCCACCCGCAAGGATCTGAACGACAAGCGTGTGTATGTGTGTGTGTGTGTGGGGGGAGGATTCACCACTCCTCTCTGCACACGTCCTTTATTAATGAACTCAGACTCAGTGCCGGCACGGTGCTGAATCTGTAACACTGCATCCCATGCACCTGCACAGATATGGAATCCGGGGCCCCTTTCACCTCCTTACCTTCTCTCCTTTCTCCCCCAAAGGCCCTTCCGGCCCAGCTGGCCCTTCCTGGCCCTGTAAGAGCAGGAATCAAATTAGCAATCGTGTCCTAATCTGGAGAGTCCCTGCCAACCCCCAATATAAGATGAGCCAGTCTTCAGCTTCTGTCTAAGGGCTCGTGTATCACCATTGACTCCCTCCCACTGGATCCTGGGGCTCATGCCTCTGGCAAGCTCCCGCTGCCTGTCACAACTGACTAGGAAAACATCACTGCGACACCCGGCACACCCAGTAACCCCGACTGAAAGCACAAGGTAGGCTGACAAAGGAGGTAAACATCAAGCTACGGGATCTGTGAGTACACGGAGTCCCTGATGGACGACGTTTCCAACCTGGCTGCCAGAAATGCCTATCACAGACCCCTCCCCGGGCCTAAAGGTTGAAAATCTGGCCCATCTACAAAGAGCTGGAGGAGGTTCCGTGTTACGACTGTGAGCTAAGAAGTGCCTCAGGGGAGCCTCCTGCTGTTGCAATGGGCTCCCAGAGGCACGAGCAGCGAATACGAGGCAAGATGCTGGATTACAGGGATCCACTCTGCCCATCTCGTATGCACAGCGGAGCGTAAGGGAGACAGAGGCTGTCGCACGCCGATTGCGAGTAACCCTGTCTTAGGGAGCTGAAGTTATTTTGCCCAAGATTTTCAAGAGCGACTAGTTATTTGGGGATGGGGGGCAACTTGATACCCCTGAAGAGGGCCTGCTTCTCAGACAGTGCCGAGCACCTGCCCTCTGGAAATCAGGCCCCCTCAAAAGTTGGGCTCCCCAAAGCTGTCACCATTTTTGAGCATTTTTATCTTTTAATCTTGCACCTGGAGCCCCACCTGAGACATGAACCATTGGTTCCAATAAAACGGTGGGGTCTGACCCACCAGTGGGTTGTGAGAAGGACCGAGTGGGGGTCGGCTGCAGGGCCGGCTCCAGGCACCAGCACACCAAGCGCGTGCCTGGGGCGGCAAGCCGCGGGGGGCAGCCTGCCGGTCGCTGTGAGGGCGGCAGTCAGGCTGCCTTCAGCGGCATGCCTGCGGGAGGTCCGCCGGTCCCGCGGTTTCGGCGGCAATTCGACGGCTGGTACACAAAGGTGTGGGACTGGCAGACCTTCCACAGGCATGCTGCCGAATCCGCGTTACTGGCGGACCTCCCACAGGCATGCCGCTGAAGGCTGCCTGACTGCCGTGCTTCGGGTGGCAAAATACATAGAGCCGCCCCTGGTCGGCTGTCACTGCCCGCATCGCTGCCCGCCCTGTGCATGCCCCAGAAGTGCTCTGCTCCATGCACTCACTTCCACTTGGCTGGGGCAGCAGGCAGCGACATGGGGAGAAAGATCTGGACAGCAGCAGTGTGGGGGAAGCAGCCGGAACCACCAAGTGGCCAGCTAGCCTGGTAGTCACTGCAGCCCAGCCACGGGAGAGAGGGGCAGCAGGAGGGGGACAGGGTGGGGAGAGAGCGCCAAGCAGGGGGATTGGAGTCAGAGGGTTCCCGCACTTTAAATAGCATTCCCCAGCCCGGTATGACACCTCCTAGCAAGTGGTAGTTTTCATTCTCTCTCAATGGTGGGTCCCCCAAAAAGACTAAATGCACTTGGTGGGTCACCTTAATAAAGTTTCAGAACCACTGCATGGATGTCCCTTGGCATGCCCAGCTGGAGAGGGTGGGGGAAGGGTGTTGGTGCATATACCATCAAACCTGGATTTTATTAGGGTCTCCCAAATCTTTGTCTCATAAGAGACTCAGTGCTGCAGAGTTTAGGAACGGGAACACAGGTTACGTATCCAATCTTGGGGTAACTAGGGGGTGGGGTAAGGCACTCGGCAGATCTGTAGCCATGCAGTACGTAACTCACACAGTGAAGCCATGGAGCCGGAGAAGAGGAGACCTCTTCAGCATTTAAGCTTTGATAACATCTACCAGCTCATGGAGCACGTCTCTAATCCCACTTACAAGTGGAGTGGAGACTGATGGTGTCATTCTCACCTTACACATCAGTCAAAGAAATCAGAATCTGTACTTACTGGGTATCCAGCCGGTCCTGCAGCCCCACTCAGTCCAGCAGGCCCCTTCTCTCCTGGCACACCAGGCTTACCGCCGATGCCATCTGGCCCTTGAACGCCTGGAGGCCCCTGAGCAAAGGAAAGAAGAGTTATGCATCTATCTATGCACGTAGGTGGGAAGAGCTACTCTATGAATCTCACACACATCAGGTGGCGCTTGAGTTCCAATAGTCAGCTACTGCACCCAAGAGCTGAGAGGTAAATACAGTGCCTGAAGTGATTAAAAAAAAAATCATTCGTATGGTTTATAATGGCACCATCAGAGCCCCGAGAAGTATTTATAACGTTGTAGCTCACAAAGGCGTGTTCGCCGAATACCTAATCATGGGAATCCATCTCCCCCCTTTTACAAAAGAAGAGTTTTAAAGTTAGATGTTTTGCTACGGTCAAGGATGCTGGAGACACAAAACCTGTAGAATGCATCACCCAGACCCCTTCTGCAGAATAAAAACAGACTGACCATAAGCCAGGCAGGTTTGCCTCACGCTATGATCCAGTGCACCTCACCCTGAGCTAGAGGGGTCCCTTCTGTGGGCGTGAGGGTGGTGAAGTCTCCATACCCATTCTGTCACCGGGTGGCTTGGGACACATGCCCACTGAGAGCTGGCCTGAGACCACCAAATCATTTTACATAGGGCAGCGCTCAGCCCAAAAATGGGAACAAATCACTTTCTGGAGGGGTGTGGATGTGCATCTTTCCAGCTCCATCAGTGTCACATGACTGGAGACCAGAAGGGTGGGGGGGGGGGGTAACTGTATTAACACACAGCTATCCATCTTCTACTTACCAGCAGTCCCGGAAGCCCTCTAGGACCTGAGTCTCCCAGTCTCCCCTGAAACAAAGAGTTTATATTGCTTAATAGTAGAAGGTGAGATGCTCCCACCTAGGCCCAGAGACCACCTGTCTCAAAGAGAGGGAATGCACTCAGCTTTTCCATAATGCAAACAGAACACACAGAGTTTATTTCGGGTGGGGCCCCTGCAGCGGTCTGCCACCAACATAAAGAACGTCTCCCACAACCACAGAGCCTTTGATAAATGCCACATCCCGGGGCCTATGTTTGCAAAGAGACGAGGGTATCTATTCACTCGTTAATCCTATTGAACACAAAACTTCTAGTCTCTACAGGTTCTTATACTTCACTCATCACTGTAATATCTCAGCACCTTGCAGCAGTGCATTAAGTAACGTGATCACACAATGGTCACATGTTCGTGGTTCTCTCATCCTCTCCCCAGGGGAGACGCGTGTGCACTGAAGTGTCTTGCTGGGTCTGGAAAATCAGGAGCAGGGAACATGTGCTTATGCTTTGCTCACGTGGGACTGAACTGAAATAACCCCACAGAATCCCTGCCTGCAGTTCATGTGCTGCAGGGCCAATTGTAACCAAGGAGGGAGAGAAAAGCACTGGCTCAGGCCAAACCGAACTAAGGATGCAGGATGGAAATGTCTAACTTTATTGCTGAAAAATATACTCAGTATACTGAGGGGACACCACAGCTTCGACCTGCGGTATTTGAAATGGGTGTCAGAGTGCGTTAACTGTCTTCATTACTCCTCTCCCAACCTGCAAACCTTCTCAGGTGCAACAAGTGATCAGAACGTGTTCAGCTGAGCAGCTGAAATGGGAAGCAGCTGCATTCTGCTGTGCGGCACGGCCTCCATTTACACATTATAAAGGATTCTGAACAGTAAAATCGAATTTAAAGACGGTTTCTCCGCATTCTAGCACTTGCACTCTGCAGAGGTGAAACTGGAACTGAAGGCCTCTGAGATCCCAGTTCCATGCCTTTCCCTTGAGACTCCAAGGTAGCTGGGGAGAGAGTCTGTCACGCATACCCCAATGCCTACTTTTGTGGTGCAGTGGGACAGGGAGCCCGAGTCAGCCAAAATGCACAATGTCCCACAAACTCCGGCGCCCTCGAGAGGTCTGGCAGCCCAGATGCCATATGAGTTTTGACCAAGGTGGTCATACTTGGGTGCTTAAAGTTGAGAGCAGGAACTCCAGAGGGCTGATCCGAAGCCATGGGGGTGAGTGGGCAATAGTGGCCAATACGGAGAGGCTAACGCCACAATTAGGGCACGTCTTCACTACCCGCCGAATCGGCGGGTAGCAATCGATCTATTGGGGATCAACTTATCGCGTCTAGTGAAGACGCGATAAAATCGATCCCCGATGGCTCTTCCGTCGACTCCGGAAATCCGCCGCGGCAAGAGGCAGAAGTGGAGTCGACGGCGGTGCGGCAGCGGTCGACTCGCCGCCGTCCTCACAGCCAGGTAAGTCGACCTAAAATACGCAACTTCAGCTACGCTATTCACGTAGCTGAAGTTGCGTATCTTAGATCGACCCCCCGCCCCCCCCGTAGTGTAGACCTAGCCTCAGAGAGGTGTGGCTGGCATACTGCAGAGTGCAGTACCTCTTGCTGCCACAGGTGGGATTTCAGGCACAGGAGACCTCCAGGGGGTTGGAAATTTTTTGACCAAAAGGTTTTCATCTGAAAATACGGATTCATCAAAACCAAAACTGCTTGCGGGAAGGTACCAGGTTTAACAGAACTTTGGTCAAGGAAGGTTTCTCAGGTCCAGGATGCAAGAGCTGATCACAATGAGAACGCGGGAGTGAGAGAGACTGCCCCCCACTAGCAATACCCTGGTGGTTAGGTCACTCACCTGGGCTGTGGGAGACCTCGGCTCTAGTCCCTGCTCCAAATCAGGTGCCGGCAGGTCCTCCACGTCCCAGGTGAGTGCCCTCACTACGCTGCTATTGGCTACCCTGGGGTGTCCCTTGCATTGTTTATTCATCAAAAAACTTCTGAAGGTCTCAGTCCCTTATGTGGAATGGGAGAAGTGTCCAAACCCTAGACAACATTCATAGGATGGGCAAACCGTTTCCTGCTCGGCGCTAAGGATACCTGGCTGCCCCCAGCTGGCCCTGCAGCATGTGAGCTGCAGGCAGGAGAGGGAGGAGGCACACAGCAGGGACAGCGACAAGCGGAGGAGAAAAGGTGGAAGGAGGGGGCGAGAATTCTGATCCTGAGCATGGGCTCTCTGAGCTGGAAGCGGGTGTGTGTGTGTGTGTGTGTGTGTGTGTGTGTGTGAGTGAGTGAGAGAGAGAGAGAGAGAGATGTGGGGACAGGGGATCATGCTGAGCCAGGAGTGCAGGGCAGATGCGGGTCCAGAGCTGAGGAGAGGTTACGTAGTAAGTAAGACAAGTGGTTCTCAGACTGGGGTGGGGGGACCTGTCTGAGCTGGGTTGGGTTGGGGGGAGCTGAAGAGCCTTGAGGAGGTTTTGAGTTGGGAGAGAGGCGGGTTGAATGAAGGGAGAATGGAGTCACTCAGTGAAAGAGGGGGTGATGGTAGGTCAAAGGGTAGTTTGGAGGAGGAGAAGTTGGGCCTGGTGTAAAGGGGACACAGAGGGATGGATAATTTTCTCCCAACCTGCCCTTTACTGTAAAGTTCTTCTGTACAGGGGAGAGGCATGGGGAGTCTCTTTTTCCTCTCAATTCTCCCCCAATCTCTCTTACCCCCCTGCAGCAAAATGTTTCCCTGCAAGGCCCCCTAGCCCCAGCATCCCAGTTTTTCCACTTGAAAACTATGATTCACCTGCACTGGAGCTGGGGGAGAGGGGAGCTGAGCAGAGTGCTCCCTGCAGCCCTACTGCCTATCTGGGGGCACCAGCTCCATGGCAAACCCACCCCCATCCCCATGGCACTACGCCTGTCTTGCCAGCCTGCCCTGATCCCACCCCACCCTGTCAACTGGATTGGCGCTGCCCCCATCCTCAGGAAGTTCACATAATGCAGCACGAGCAATCAGATTGGCAGATGTGAAAGCCAACTCCCCTTCCAAGGGGAGATAGGAATCTGCCGCTGAGCTGACACAGCGAAAGTGCTGACAGATTAATTGGAACTAATTACTTGGGCTCAGGAATGAAGCCCGGTATTTCTGTCACAGCGATGGCCTCTGCATGGAGCAGGAAAAACCTGGGAGGGGGGAGGGCCGCTTAGGAAGTTCTATGGGCATTGCTTTCTCTTTGTTACTGCCCCCTGGGCTCTTCAGCGCCGGCTGGTACCTGGTGGGGGAGCTGCGAGCCAGCTCCTATTTGGGGTCTGCAGCCTCCCACTGAAGCAGATTTGCTCATCCACTTGTAGCTGCTCCTCCCCAGGCCGGAGAGTGCCCTAGAAGTCATTACACGGGGCCTGTCGTGAGGGACGTGGACCCATGCTGCAATCAAGGTGGGAGGCCCCTCGTTCCTGACACTGACACAGCCTCTCATCCCCATAGGGCTCCTTTGCTCTACCTGGCCAGGCTGCAATCCAGCCCCAGGATGCACACGTGAACAGACAAGTGCGCCCCTTGCCGCTTTCCAGTGCTGGGGTGTCCTAGCAATGGCACAGTAACCCTGGAAAGCCACAGAGGGGCAAACCCAGCTCCCACCCTCCTCCTGACTGGCCTGAGCACATAGGAGGCCAGGTCTGGGTGTGCCGGGCTGCTCCGGCCTCTGGCACGAAGATGCTTTCCTCCCCGCTGTCCTGCGAGAGCTCAGCCAAAGGACAGCACAGTCCTGGCCTTGTTGAGGGCCCTGTCCGTGCCCTGACCTTTCACACCTGTGTTACATGAGCTGGCAAAACGGGCCTAATCCAAGCAGTGCCTGGGGCATCTCACCACATATAAAGAGACAGGAAAGACAGAACAGGACATACCTGTGGACCAGGGGGACCTTTCCCACCAGGTGGGCCAGGGGGAGCCTGTGTGAGGAGAGAGAGGCAGAGATCAGAGCCTGAATATTTCACCTCCCTTCTGCTGAGCGCTCATTGCACGTAGGCCGGTTGAGAGGCCTTTTCACCTTCTCACCACAGCAGCTCAGGCTAAGCACTTCGACAACCAGCATGCCTGCACCAGACTTCATTTAATCGCTGGGCGCAGAGGTCACATCAGACCTATCCGTGCCCACAGAAAAACAGATCGGCCCTGGAGTTCTGGGGTGCGCTACAGGCCGGTTCTACTGAGAGGCAGGGAACAATGCTCACTTTGGGACCGGCTTTTCCTGGAAATCCTGGTGGGCCCTGGACTCCGGGCTCTCCCTGCAAGAAGGAGCAGAAAGAAGTTTGTTCATGTCTGTTCTGCTGAAGAACCTCTTGGGAGCAGCAGCAGCTGCCATCTCTCAGTGAAGAATGGTGACTAGGGTTGGGAAGGTTAAGGAGAGCTGGTCAGAAGATGGGGGTGGGGGAGAAGCCTACGCAAATGTCCTGACCAGTTCTAGAGGCGAGAGCTGCTGATGTGTGTTGGTGGAGACAGAAAGTTGGAGTTTGGGAAACGACTGTAGGGTAACTTCACAGACATCAATACCAATACGTGTGCCCAACGGATTCGAGATGGGCCTGAGTCAACACCCCAAACGCCCCCAAAGTTTGATCTGGCGTCCAGCCTTTTTAACAGGTCCTTATAATAAGCCGAACCCAGACCCTGGAAATGCAAACTCCTAAATTTCAAGGAAGTCCAGGTCTAGTTTGGAACTTAGCAACTCAGGCCCATCTCTGTTACTAACATGGACTGAGGAACAGAGGTAGCAGGAGTTCAGTGTGCTCAGATTGCACCCATCCTAAGTGTCGGTTAGACAGCCATTTCCCCTCTGAATTCCAAACCACCACCACTTGCTTTAAAATCCAGCTTTGGTCCGTCAGGAAATGAATGAATGAGCATAAATGGCACAAGAGATACCAGAGATACTGGAAGAGCAGCACAGTCGGACCCTACACAGGCTAATCCTACACCCTGTTCTTAGCATTGGAAGTAGATTGTTTTCTCCACAGTCACCGCCCCAGTAAATGGCAAAGAAAAAGGTCTTTGCAGGTCACCCCAGAGTTCCCAATGATCTTCATCTCTGGAGCTCTTTCATGGTCCTACCTTTTCACCCCTAGGTCCTGCCTTTCCTCTGTCACCAACAGGTCCTGGGTAGCCCTGGGACAGAGAAAGCCATTGATACTGGTCAGTTAAGGCGGACACCCTGAATTCTCTCGCAGGGATGGGGAGGAAGTGGAGGAAGCTAGCAGCCTATGGAAAGTGGTGATCGTGTCCGAGATGTGGCACCATGATGTCCAGAAGAGGTGGTGGTCATCACATGGGTTAAGGTTTCACACACCTCCCTCTGTTTATTGGTCTCTTTCTCAAATTAACTGCCTTACCTTAAACCAACCATAATGATCTCTTACAAATGAGGGTCTTGTGGCCCTCCGGCTGCTTTGGCCAGCAGTGGCATGTCTAGCTGGCTACCCCTCACACATTTAACCCTGCCCCCTTCCCACTGGATCAGGAGAACCTCATGAGAGCACTGAAAATGGTCACTTAAAAACTAGACAACTCCCCCCCCCGGCCAGAATGGGATGTGCTAGTCCTGAGTATCATTCTGCTTATTTAAAAAGCACACCGTTGTGGTGGAGAGGGGCTCAGCAGGACAGACGGTGCCCATTTAGCTTATTTATTTAGCCAGAGAAGAAGGCGAGATCTTGTGCCCACTCAACGGGGAAAGAGGCAGTATGCGAAGCCACCATCAACGTGCCTCACTTTAACCCGGGGATCAGGACCGAGAGCTGCACAATGTAACCTGGGGGTTTCCAAACCTCAGAGAAATAGGAGCCCGATTTCCTCAAAGCAACAAGGCGGAAGTCACCCAACGTCTTCTGGTCTGACCCATGATTCAGGTCTGGAACTATGAGAAGAAGTTCTGCCACGCCAGTCGGGGGGCAATAGGCCAGTATTGGAAAATGCCTGAACCAAGCCAGCCACTCTCACTGACATGCACAGAGGAAATTCTAGGGATATACCCAGTGTAGCCAATGGTGCACAGTTGGCAAGGCCTGTAATTCTGTGAAAGCTCCTTACACGGAATGTTGGAGGTGCTTCGGTGCCTCCCTTCTGGACAGCTGTTTTCCCAAGCTCACCCTCTCCCCGCCTCTGCCCCATATGTTCTCCTACAGCTGCCTGCTTGTCGCTAGGCCTCATTTTTCCCTGGGAACAGACGGGTATCACTTACATACATGCCGACAGGTCCTTGCAGTCCTTCCAAGCCAAGTTTACCAGGCAGCCCCTGCCAGGAAAGAAATGAAAATGTAACAAATGCAGCAAGACTGGCTTGAATACAGGTGGTCAGTTCTGGTGCCAACGTTATGGAAGGAGCAGTAAAATAGATGACAAAGAACTAGGGTGCGTAGGCTTCACCAGCTAAAAGCTCATCCAAACAGACATTGTTCTTTATGGTCTAATCCTGAGCACTTGCAACTCCTGTTGGCTTCAGGATGTTTGGAGTCAGGCTCCAAAAGGACAAGTTATAGAGTTGTGCCAATAACCGATTCTTTGGTTCGGCCACTCCACTCCACCCCTCAACAATTGTTTTGGGCCGAACAAAGCATTTCATTTAACGCGAGGGGCTTTTAACCCTTTCTTTCCTTCTTTAATTTAATAACATTGTTGTTAAACTCGAAACAGCCAGTTTTGATTTTTTTTTTTCTGACTGAAACAATTTGGCGAATTCAACAGGGATTCGCACAGTGTTTTGGTCGACCCAAATCTGCATCTTTCCTCCAAAAAAAAAAAAAAAAAAATGTTGTCCAAAACCTGCCACCCAGCTCCAGTGTTCAGCCAGGTGCAATGCTGGGCTGTCTGGGGAAGCAAAGCTAGTAACACAGACTGCACCACGTGCTGCGTGTGGTGGCAAAGGGTGAGTGCTGCAGATGGGGAGGGGAAAAGAGGCCGAGCTGCTGCTTCTCTCTGCAGAGAGCCAAGGCAGGCAATTCACGAGGTCACGTGGCCTGAGACAGCTGGGACACGGGGCACTGTGCCTGTGCGGATTGGGAGATAAAAGAAAACACATAAAGGATCCTCTGGCTCAGAGCCAGCAAGAGCCTGAGCATGCACTGAGCTGGAACATGGAGATAGCCAGCTAATATGTAATGAGCCCTTTTCCCCTGGAGTGCGGACAACATGGCTGATGTTTCAGAGTATCATTGAAAAGCACCTTCTGTAGCTATCCACTTCCTGAAGCACTTCAAAGTAAGGGACCCACCCAGCCTCACACTGATCTCTCTGTGGTACCGAGATGCCTCTGAGGAGATGCTACCACAGAGCCGATCCCAGAGGAACATTCCAGAATACCAACTGAGCGAAGCCAGGGAGCTTTCGTCATTGAGACCAGACTACATGAAACGGCTCCATGGAGCTCCGTCACCTCGCCCACATACCCCATCTCATTAGTGGCTCTTACCCTTGGCCCCGGTGAACCTGGGTCTCCGTCTGGTCCTGGTTTTCCTGGAGGGCCCTTAAAAAAAACATGAGGGGAGACATGTCATTAACTGAGTCACCTTATGAGGCCATTTCAGGCCCTGACACTCATTGCTCACTTAGCTGAGCATGGCAATCTAGTTAATATTTGATTGTGATCCTCTGCCTTCGTGGATAGCCGCTTCAGCTCCCATCTGGCTATGTTCAGTAGCCCTCGGTCACCAGTAGCCCAAAGCTGGCACTGCAGAGAGACTGAACCGGGCACACTGGGTGGCCCTCACAGGGCGTTGTGTTCCGTATATCTGGTGCCCTGCGCAGCAGTAAAGCAGTTAATGGATTCTCGGGCATTCTTTCTGGGGATGGCACAAAATAGTCACCTTATTGATTGAGAAAGTGAAGAGATCTGGGTGCTTTTGGGCCCTGGCAGCTGTCTATGAATATTCTGTGCACTCATTCATTCTCCCGCAACGTGTGCGCGCTGTCCTGGATGGACTCTGAAACCGGCTCCAGCGCACATGACCATGCCACCCCGATGATTGCATCATCTGGGGGCCACAAGACCAAATGCTACTACACAATGTGACTGCTCCACAGCTTACTGCCAGCTCTCTGTTACTGGCTGCGCCAGCAGCAGGTCCCAGGGCGCTGGCATACCACTGCTAAACGGGCACAGTTTCTGGGTTTTCATTAGACTTTTCTGTCTGCGGGCCCCTAGGGGAGGTTTGTACAGACTCACTGTAGATGAGTTTTCGTTGTAGAAGTTCAGTGATCAGATTCCTCAAAGCAGCTTTATTTACTGTATATAAGCCCAGGGAGTAACGTTACCCTTGCACACCACCCATGAAAAAACATTAAGGAAAGAGAAGCTCCTCCTCGCTGAGGTGTCTCTCAGGCAGAGCATTCTTCTCCTCTCCATTTAAGGCATGAGCCAATACCCACTTCTGCCAATTGGGACTTTTCATGGATTTTAACAGGTGTTGGGTCAAACCCTTAAGAGGACTCTAGGGGAGGGGTTCCCAATTTGAAGCACGCATACCCTGGGGTGGGGTGTGTGTACGTGAGACACCTCTGGCGGGTAAGCAGGAGAAATTGTGTAAAGGTGGATTTATTAATTATTTTATTTATTGCATTTTCATAATAGACTACTCAGACGAAGCTTTAAAACTCTGTGGGAATGTATGTAAAATATGGTAGTTAATTTGCTTCAGCGTGTACCAATGGGAACGCAGATGCACAGAGATGCTGAGATACAGAGCCCTCACCTCCAATCACTGTACAGTGCGGGTTCAGTTGCCTGGCAACTGTCCAGTCTAACTGAGCTCAGAACTTAGCCAGGATTTTTTTCCCCCTTTTCGGTTGTATACGTCACACTATAACTATATCTGTATGCAACAGTGAAATATGGACAGATGGCTAAAGACAGGTAGTGTTAAGAAGAACACACAAAGTATCAGTGATGAGAAGGGTAGGGGTACACAGGCAGCTGGTAGATCTGGAAGGGGGTACACAATAAGAAAAGTGTGGGAACCTCTGCTCTAGGGGGTTGGATCCTCCCACCTGTTCCTAGCGAGAAAACAACATATCCCTTACCAGCCATTATCAATCTCAGCCCCTGCAGGGCCGGCTTTAGGCCGATTCCCTGGAATCGGGCCCTGCGCCTTAGGCGCCTTTTTAATTTTTTAATTTTTTTTACTCACCCGGCGGCGGTGTGGGTCTTCGGCGGCACTTCGGCGGCGGCGGGTCCTTCAGTGCCGCGGAAGACCCAGAGCGAAGTGCTGCCGAAGACCCGGACCACCACCGGGTATTCGAATCGGGCCCCGCAGTTCCTAAAGCCAGCCCTGAGCCTCTGTCTATCATTCACCACCCCAACAAAGCAGCTGACTTTCTGCGTTGGTGCTGTGCAGACTAACGCAACAGACAAACTACCGTAGAATGAAGATGCTCCTTACTATTGGTCCAGTAGGTCCATCATGCCCTCTGTCACCTGGTAAGCCACCAGCACCCTGGAGAGAACAGCAAAAGATCAAAACACAGACGCTGAAAGTTGGGGGGAAGTGCTACCGGTAAGGGAGAGCGCGGTAGTGGACACACAGGGGTATGGCTTGCCAAAGAGGGGTGCAGCCTGCCACAGAACCAATGCTGGTGCTCCTTGGAAGCTGTATGTGCTCTCAGCCACATGTTTTCCTGGAACAGTCTTCTGTAATAGTTGGCTCTTGCGTGTCTGTGGATTTCCTCATTGATTGGTCACCAATGAAATTTCATTAAAAAAAAAAACTAAAAAACAAAAAAGCCCGGAACAGAGCATTCCAGTAAGGTTGAAACAGAACACTTCCACCTTCGTGGCATGGAACGTTTCCATTTCAAAACGACTTTAGTTTCAATTGTAAAAAAAAAATTGTGTATTATATAATATCAACTCCAGAAAGTCAAATTTGGAACAAAAACTTTGTGAATTTTATCCAAATGAAAATGTTGTGATCAATTTGAAGCAAACTGGTTTTTGGAATTTCATTTTGTGGGAAATTTTGATTGGGGGGGGGGAGTGTCTTTGTTCCATTTTGGATCAGGAAAAAAAATCCAAATTGCAGAATTTCCCACAAAATGGAAAATCTGGTTCCCCCCCAGCTCTAGCTGCTGGCTCCCATTGGTCCCATCTTAGGTCTGTTTTTGATAACCCAATGGCACCAAACATGCCTTAGAAATAGCCACACTTTTTTTTTTTCCCTCTGAAGGAAGCAACTTTTCCAGCCTCTCCTCCCTTGCTCGCCTCTGTACAGATAAGCAGGTGGGGACTGCACATTTCTTAGCAATGGAAATCCTCATCCTACCTCCCGCCATCCAAAGAAAGAGAAGATGCTAACTTGGTACAGGGCTAGGGGAAGATGCACCCATTACAATGCACGCCAAAGTCCCTTTCTCAGGCAGTGTCCGGAACTAAGTGGTTTTGAGGGGACTGGGAGCAGTTCACCTGCATTTCAGAGAGCTGGGCAGGGTCAGATGGGGAGAGGGGGTTAAGAGAGCGAAGGCAGCCCCTGAGGCTGAAAGACACTGTTGTGTCTCAGCCCTAAGAGGGGAGGCGTGTAATATGTCATCGCTCAAGCATTCTAGGTTAAACCTTGTACCACGGAACTGGGTCATTATTAGCTGACAATCGGACATGGAAAGTGTGTGTTGGAAGGTAATAAGACCCCACAGCAGGTTTGCTTGTAGTAGGATTTTGTCACCATTAACAAGGGTGTTGCAGTGTATTAAGTGACAAAACCCGATCTCTAATCAAAACCCTGGATCTGAATACAGGGCAGGACCCTCTTTAGGTGACACCCAGGAAGGCAAGGCTGACTGGTTCATTGAACTAAGGCTGGACTTGATCTTTGCTCAAGGAGCCACCATCATTAGGGAACTAGCCTAGGACTTGATAGACTCCAGTTCAATTCCTAGCTCTGCCACAGACTTCGGGTGTGATCTTGGGCAAGTCACTTAGTCTCTCGGTGCCTGAGTCCATCTGTGCAATGGAGATAACAGTCCTGCCCTGCCTCACAGGGCTGTGTGAGGATAAATACATTAAAGATTGTGAAGCGCTTTGAGATCTACGGATGAACAGCTGAGTACAAGAGCTAGGTATTATCGTCATGCTCATGTGGCTCAAAAGACTGGAAGAATTTAAAACAAACACACAAGGAATTCTACTCACAGCTGGTCCCTTTCTGCCAGGGCTCCCCATGGCACCTGATACACCCTGCAAGATAAATCAGACAGATGATAAGGACCAAGAGAGATCACAAACCTTCCCCCAGCTCCCGCCCAGCTCTGTATTCTAGGAACATGGATTTGCACGTGAGCTCAGCTTTCCCTGTAAGGGAAGCTCTAATGATGCAAGCTGGAATCGTGTGTAAACCTGAGAGCTCATTCCTTAAAGGTTAGATCAGAATAAGGTTGCCAGGTGTCCGGTTTTCGAAAAGGGATCCTGGTGGCTCTGGTCAGCACTGATGACCGGCCGTTAAAAGTCTGGTCGGCAGCTCAGTGGGGCTAAGGCAGGCTCCCTGCCTGCCCAGGCTCTGTGCAGCTCCCCAGAAGCAGCCAGCATGTCCTGCCCCTAGGCACAGGGCCAATCAGGGAAGCTCTGCACCACCTGCCGGGGGCGGGCGGGGGGGGGGGAGTGAAGGGGGGCACCTACGGGCACGGAGCCGCTTGGCCATGCCTCCATCTAGCTGCTTCCGGGAGTGGCGCAGAGCCAGGGCAAGCAGGGAGCCTGCCTTAGCCCCATTGTACCACCCACTAGGAGCTGCCTGAGGTAAGCGCCACTTGGCTGGAGCCCGCACCGTGAACCTCCTACCCCAGCCCTGAGTCTCCTCCCGCACCTTAATCCCCTCCCAGACCCTGCACCCCCTCCCACACTCCAACCCTCTGCCCCCTACTGCACCCCAAACCCCTCATCCCCAGCCCCACCCCAGAGCCCGCACTCCCAGCCAGATCCCTCACCCCCTCCCGCACTCCAACCCTCTGCCCCAGCCCAGAGCCCCCTCCTGCACCCCAAACCCCTTATCCCCAGCCCCACCCCAGAGCCCACACTCCAACCCCCTGCCCCAGCCCAGAGCCCCCTCCTGCACCCCAAACCCCTCATCCCCAGCCCCACCCCAGAGCCCGCACTCCCAGCCAGATCCCTCACCCCCTCCCGCACTCCAACCCCCTGCCCCAGCCCGGAGCCCCCTCCCACACCCTGAACCCCTCATTTCTGGCTCCACCCCAGAGGCTGCACCCCCAGCTGGAGCTAGGGCCATCCAGAGGATTCAGGGGGCCTGGGGCAAAGCAATTTCGGGGGCCCCTTCCATAAAAAAAAGTTGCAATACTATAGAATAGTATATTTTCCTGGGGGCCCCTGTGGGGCCTGGGGCAAATTGTCCCACTTGCCCCCCCCCCTCTGGGCGGCCCTGGCTGGAGCCCTCACCTCCCTCCCAAACCCCAACCGTCTGCCCCAGCCCAGTGAAAGTGAGTCAGGTTGGGGGAGAGCGAGCGACAGCAGGAGGGGGGCTGGAGTGAGTGGGGGGCAGGGCGTCGGAGAAGGGGTGGGGCCTCGGGGCAGGGGGCAGGGCAAGGGTGTTCGGTTTTGTGCCATTAGAAAGTTGGCAACCTAGATCAGAAGCAAGGAGTTTCTGGATCTCATCCTAGCTCTCAATAAATGTCTGTTCCCAGCACATCACTATGCAGTTTGGTTCTACGCAGCCTCTCTGCATGAAGGGCTCAGGACTGGAACAACAGGGCCCAGTGTGCGAGGAGTGAGGGTTGAGGGTCACTGGCAGAGCTGTTTCTGGGCACAGAACTAGCATGTCTAACAGAGCACAGAGGGCGGAGTGAGCTGCAGGTGGCAGTAGAAATCAATGGGCAGAGCCGTGCTGGGGACAGAACTGGAACACCGGAGGGGAGGTGACGGTTTGGTGCGAGTGGGGAATGAGGTGCATGAACCACCCCAGCCCCAAGCCTGTGCCGTCAAACCCTCACAGCCATGCAAAGATGGCCTAGACCACAAAGTTTGGATCCAGCTCCAGGGAGTTCGGTTCTGTGGTTCGGTTTGGATTCATCTCCCTGCTTTTAGGGGTACGTTTATAAGAGACAAACCAACATTGGAACCAGCAAATCTCGGAGTTAACGTAACATGCAGTAATATAGCAGCTTTCACCTGCAGCCCTGGCCCCTGTAGCCGGCACGGCAATTACAACAGAACGAAGAATATTTAAGTATATAGTATAGAATGGGAACCTGTGTACCAGGCTTTCCTTCTGGGCCTGCTATTCCAGGAACGCCTCGTAAGCCCTGTAAAGCAGATTTTTACCTTGGATAAGCATATGAATGAAAATAGGTGCTCAGATTTTAAATGGTGAAAATATAGATGGCAAAAGACGCTTTTAAAGGACTCCGTTATGTGTGACTATATAAGCAAAGTAAACACAAATATTTTCATAAGAGCAATTTAAACAAATGGGAATAGAAGGCTCTTGCATATGTACATTCGTTTGCTATACGAGCACTCAACTCTGCCTACCGGGACAACCGTGATGACTGCAAACACATCTGTCTCTACTGTTATCTTGTCCTCTGCCCCCCTCCTGCTGTCTGTCTGTTTAGTCACCTGCTATGTGTCATCTAAACCCTAGATTGGGACCCCTCTGGGGCAGGCAGTGTTGTCTGTGATTTGTTTGCACAGTGCTTAGTGCAACGTCGGCCTCGTTCCGGTTGGAACTCCCTGGATGCCAGTGCAAGAGAAATAAACTGGTCGGTTTGGAAACCTTCCCGAGAAAAGTTTGTGCTCGTAACTGCACCGTGCTCATTAACATGCATCGTGTCTCCTGACTGTGCCCTCCCTCAGCACCCTGTGCAAACAGCTTCTAACAGCCCTTTCCCGCCTCCACCGGCAAACGCTCTAACCAAAAAAGAAACCGAGCAGCAGGTAAAAGACTATTTTTACTGCCACAGAGAGAAAAACGTCGAGGGCCTTAAACATATTTTTTCCCTCCCTATCCTCTTTTGCCCACCCCCACAACTATTAATTGTAGCTTGGTTGTCAAATGTAAACACGTGTAATAACAGGTCCCCTGAAAGCTACTTAAAAGAGAGTCTTGCTTCCTACATTCCTTGCTAGTAGGTAAAAAGTCAGTTGTGTTTCTGGTGGGGTTTGTATGAATTATTATTACAACAATGTAAAACTTGTATAGAATAACACTCATCCTGAATCTCCTCCCCCTGACCTTCCTACCGGCTTACCCAAAGGCAGAATACGACCCACAGAACATTTGAACACAAACACATTTTCAAATCGCTGTCAAACATGGCACACAAGAACGGTCTCATGCCGGAGCTATACTACGAAAACCGCTGACTGCAAACAGCCCAGTCCAAAGTGTGCTGTAGAGGTTAGCAAGCACTGTTAACGTGACTCTTTTCCACCTTAATTTGTGAGCTACAGAAAACAAAAAAGTGTTACATTTTCAATAAATCCTAATTAGGCACATGTGCAACTACAGCACTAACAGTGAAGGGCACAATTAAGACGCCTAATTAGGTTGAGAAATACGTCATCGTGCCCTTGATGAGAAGCCATACTCCCATGCACGCTGCCCGTTTGTTTTCCTGCTCTCACATAGGCGAGCAATAACGCTTTTAAGCGCACACCTAGTTAAACCCACAAGGTCTGGACGCTGGCGTCAGTTGGGAGGATCTGCACTGCAAATCAGCAGAGTCCCACTAACAGCAGATCAGACGAACGCCCTCTGTCTGGAGACCGGTACACTTGTATCTGCCAACTCTGAATCCCATCTAGGCTTTCCGCTTTCAAACCTGAACCATGCAACTGGGGCGGCCAGTGCTGATCCCTTCTCTAGAGCACACTTCGCATGAGTTCGAGCCTGAGCACTGGTGTACTGCTACTTACTGGGGGTCCTGGGAGTCCAACCAACCCACGCTGGCCCGTACGGCCCTGAAAAGAAACAAAGATTACAAGAAAGGACTGTGCCATCATTCAACAAGATGCAAATTCAGAGGCCTCAATACGCAAGTTTGGCAACAGGAATGATCTTTGTCAGCAGTAAAAGTTACAGGGCTTTTAAACGTATAGATGGGTTTATATACTTCAATTATGGCTCCGATTTTATCTAAACTCCTCTCTCGTATGGTATTCCCACCACTCTAGCAAGGAGTCGTTCATGCACTCCTTTCAAGTGCAGGGACCTTGCCATGGTTATCTGCCGCTGCTAGCCACCTCTTAGCCATCTCCACAGTAGATCTCTGCATAGTGGCTCTGTGCCTTCAAGTCATTCAGAAGCTGCAGCATCCTGATTCGGGAAAGCAACTTACTTGAGTCTCACTGACGTCCACGGGACTTCAATTTATGCTGAAAGACGAGAACGTGCTCAAATGCTGCCTGCCCTGGAATGCTAGTGAGGACCAAGGCAGCCACTCTTCAGTGCTGTTTCTCATGCAGAGTACACTTTATGCCCATGCTACATGATCTGTGCTGCTCACAACGCAATTTTGTGGAGATATTTAAGGGGCTGGTTTCAAACCCTATAATGACCCCGACGTTCACCTCCAAGTAACGAAAGGCTCTGATAGTTACCCTGTGTCCTCTTGGCCCAGGCCTTCCCTTCGAGCCATCTGGTCCTCGACTGCCCTAAAAATTCACAGGGGAAAATCATTTCAGGCACCACTGCTCGATTCCCCCACCATCCCTGCCTATCTTAGAGATACAGAGCTGGGCATGTGTCTTTACAGTTTCAGGGGCTTCTTCCAAAGCCCATTGGACTCAATGGATCTAACAGCTTGGGGTCAGGCTGGAGATGTTGGTTTTGATGTGGATTTTCCTACTGAAATGATGCTGTAATGGGTGTAACGCGTGACACGCCTCAGGGACCGGCTAGAGCTTACATTACAAGCCACATCAGTCCCAAGCGGAGATGCTGGGCCCAGCAAGCACTGTTATGCGGAGGGGCGGGGACAGACATGACTTTTTGTATGTGCCTACCACTTACTGAAACCCCCAAGCTGCCAGGATGCAGAGTGCTAGATAGTCTGGGTTGGGAACGTGAGAACTACCAGATCACTGGAAGTCTCCAAAAGTGCTGTCTGCTCAGGGCCACAGGTGAACCCAGAAATCTTATGAGAGCAGCAGAGACAAGCTGGAGCAAGACCCTCAACACGTGCCAAAACCTCACCCTGAGAAAGGCGTAGTTCCCACCCCCTTCATATTCTGAAACCCTGCCTAAAGGTTCAGTCGGGGTGCCAGGCTGGGCAACAGCTCTGCTGGGGTACCGTCAGCTGGATGTCTATGGATCACAGGACTTCCTGTTATGCCAACACCCACATATCAGTAAAGAGAGACTGTGTGTGTAAGGGGTGGATGGGTATACAGAGGTGGAAGGTGGTTGCCAGTATTTCCCCTCTCCTCTACCGGTCAGATTTATTCTGTAGCCTATTACTCCGCCAGCTCTCCCTCCACTGAGGAAAGAGGGTTTTCCCCTTTTTAAGCAATGCACCAAGTGGAGGTCACACAGTCTCACAGCTTGAAACCTGTCAAGCAGATTCACAGATGGGGCTGCAGGATACAGTTGCGATCATTTCATCTTGGAATCAGCACAGACTTCACAAGAGAGCAACCAAAATACCATCTCAAACTCTCTTTGAACAGGACAAAGAGGATATTGAAAACAGGGAAACTCTTATTCAGCGGAATAAAATACGATCAACTCCTTTGTGTTCATTACCCAAATCTTTCCTAAACAGGGACCTATCAGGAAAAAGCCAGCGTAAACAAATCCACCTTAAAGCTGGCCTCATGCCCTGGCTAGGTCTCCTCTGCAGCTAGGAGCACGCTTCCCAGCCCTGGTAGACAGACGTGCTAGCACTGCTCGGCAGCACAGGTGGCCGCTTTGGCTTGCCCCCCCAAGTACAATCCCACCTGATCCCTTTTAAGAAAATGAACGCTGCAACTGTGGAGAGCAATTGAGACGTATTTTTGGGCCTTCCACTCCTGCAAAAGGGAACACCCTCTACACTTTGGGAAACAGTGAAGGACCCACTGCCAGCTATATTACAAACGGAACAACATATTATTTTATAAAAGGACTCCATCAGATCAAATATGAGGTTTAGGTTATGCAAATGCTCTTACAAAATCTAAGACCAAAGAGAAATATTTCCTTGAATGAAAAAAACAACACAAAACAAAACAAAAAAAACCCACACACACAACCTCCACCCCCCAACCCAATAAAAACACCTTTATTTTAACAAGTAAACATTAATTTGCTTTCAGTGCTGGCAAACCCAAATTCTGCAGCGTTATAACAGTGCAGGAGGATGGAAAGTGGAAAATGACAAGAAACAAATGAAATCTCTCAGCTTGGACAATGACAGTCAGATCGGTGAATTGCAAACAGCGAAAAGCAAATACAGAAAAAGTTAAAGTAGCCAAGCGTCTATAATACAGCAACTGGGGAAGAGTAGCAGAGGTTTTATTTCCCCCCTCCACAACCACAGTTCCATAATTTATGATGTTATTTGTAACATGGGACATTTATTTGGTTTTTACATGAGTTTTAAGCTGGCAGCGTCCATTTAAGCATAAGACACCTCAGTATGGAGCTATGTACTAAAATGCTATAGCACAGACAACACCCAGCCTTGCTCCGAAGAGAGTTATCATGCCCCCCACCTTCCACAGTCATGCACATGAATAGGTGGTATGGCTATGTTGTGAGGTCACGTCTCAGTGCCTCAGTTTCCCTGGCTGTACAATGGGGGTGGCACTTCGTCTTTGTAGAGGCTGGGATCTTGAGAGCCTATTGGTGTTAGGCACCCAAACCCTGTTTAAATTCAGTGGCTTGGATTTGCAAATGAGCCTACGTCTACACAGCAAAAAAACCCAGCGGCTCTGAATCAGAGTCCGAGTCAACTGACTTGGGTTCCTGGGGCTCATGCTGAGAGGCCAACAATAGCAGTGTAGATACTGGGGCTCGGGCTGGAGTCTGGGTTCTGAAACCCGGCGAGGGGGCAGGGTCTTCGAGCCCAAACATCTCCATGTTATTGTTAGTCCTGCAGCGCAAGCCAGCTGAGCCGGGCTCAGAGTCGCTGCCATGGGGCTGGTTTTTTGCGGTGTAGACAAACCCTAAAGCAGTCTGAGATCCATGGATGAAGAACGTTACATAAAGGATTTACCACGACAAAATGAAAGAGAGAAGAAATAATGGTGACACTGACCTTTGGCCCTTCACTGTTGTTCTGGCCAGGTGGGCCTATTTGTCCTTCCTCCCCCTAAAAGGGCAAAGAAGCAGAATTAAGGGACAGTCAAGACAACCTTTGGAAAATCATTTCTATAATGAGTCGGGGACAGTCTGCTGTGTGCAAGGCAATATTTGAATGCGATATTATTGGATCAGGCTCTAGCTGATCTTTGGAAATGCTGCCGATCTAAGTACACGCCGATGCACCGGACACCGCTCTCAAGGGGGAGTTACCTACATAACGTGCAAAGAGAGAGAAGCTGTATGCATAAGTCCCTTTACAAGGGCGTTACCCACAGTCGCAGATCCCCTGCTCTTCAGCAGGAGAAGAGATGTCTCACCATAAATATCCCTGGCCATCCAGCAGGGAAGAGATCCCTCGAGAGAGAGGGGGCATGGGGTTATTAATTACTGGTGTTGCAGTAATGCCTAGGACATCAATCAAGGTTCATGATGCTGGATGCCGTACAGACATGCTGTAAAAAGAGACAGTCGCCATGTCCTCCATGCATCAAAGAGAGAAACAGCCGACTTCCAAGCAGTCCAGCACTGTCCCCTCCCAAGCATGGCATGGAGAACAAACCCTTCAGTGTTTCATTTGGTAGGAAAAGAAAACAGACCGGGGCCAAAACCGAAGCAGGAACTGCTGCAGGGCTAAAAATCACCAGGATTATTGAACTGTGTTTGTTTCCAAGAAGTTGAATTAAGATGATTAAGCGATGCGGGCCGAGGGACGTGCTGGCCGCCCTTCCTGCAGCCCCCATTGGCCTGGAGCGGCGAACTGCGGCCAGTGGGAGCCGCGATCGGCCGAACCTGCGGACGCGGCAGGTAAACAAACCGGCCCAGCCCGCCAGGGGCTTTCCCTGAACAAGCGGTGTCCCAAGTTTGAGAACCACTGGTCTAGATCTCTTAATGCCCCCCCTCCTGCCTCGAGGGACACAGAAGGCCACGATGGCTGTGGGCTTGTCACAGTAAAATGCATGAAGCTACTATCTGCAAGCAGATACTATTTTGAGATGGGGCGTGCTGCATACTAAGCTGGAAAGGGCATTGTGTAGCGGGGAGAGGATTTCTGCTGAGTTATCCTTCTTTCAGAATGCATCCAATCTGAACAGTGAATGCCTAATCAGGGCTCATAGGAGGCCAAACTCCAGCGCCCGAATGAGATAGCATTATTCTCAGACAGCGTGCTGTTTTACTCCTGGAAAGGCAAAGGGGAAACAACAAGCCCCTTCTCTCATCTTTCTTGTGTTTTTGAACATGCAAAGATAAAGATCAGCAAGGATCTAATTCTATGTTAAAATATTCAGCTTCCTGCTGCATCCGCCCCGCCCTGAGACTCGGCACTGAAATCTGCATTGCATGAGAAAGCGCTTTTTAAATCAGCTTCCTTCTGGCAGCACCTCGAGCTTTGTCCCTCTCGGGTCTCACACGCTAAGGAGGATTCCACCTGGCCAGGTGTAACTGACCAGAGACAGGTGCCTGCACTAGACAAGCCCTGTTTTGAGCTGGTCTGGCAATCCCTGCCTTCTTCATTGTTAACAACATTCCAATTGCAGCATCTTTATTTTCAGTGGGGGAAGAGCCAGAGAGCTTCACTTTCTGATCTCAGCTTCGGTTCGAAGGGCTGGCAGTTAGAAAGAACAATCTGCAAACTGCACAATCTCAAAATACTTGTAAAGTGGCGAGCAGGTCTGATCTGGAGAAACAACCAGCGAGAACCCCACGAGGATATTATTAAGGGCAATTTCACTGCAAAAAACACATTGGAAATCCATTGAGCTCCTGCCTTTGGCTACAATTTTGCACCACGCTGCATTGGCAGTGGCTCTCTCCATTGTCTAATTTAGAATCATCTACATAGACAGCTATGGGACAATTCCAAGGCAATTAGGATCAAATCTCTGCTAGTGTACACTGGCCCAGCTCCATTGACGTCAAGTCCCGTGGACCTGTGCCAATTTACACCTGCTGAGAATTTGGCCCTTAATTTCTACCTGGCCCATTATCTGATACTGAATCCACCCTGCCAATGGATTAAGTACCTCTTTGCAGGGTTTATGAGCAAGGTAGCATCTCTATTTGTGCATGTGTACCCCTTCGTTTCTCATTTGAAGTTTCTCCCCAGGAAGATGTAACTTGATTAGAGAGAAATAACAGGATATATGTTCAACCTCTCACAGCAGTTAGATAGTAACGATAGTGAGGGAGACAGTTAATAAACTCTCCTTGGCATTTCTTCTAGGGTAGGAAGCTTAGGGCAGATGAGATTTATCATTCACTATGGAAAGTGACATTTGCATTAGTCGGACAACATGAAAATGGCAATAAACAGAGTACATGTGTTTTTAAAGCACATGGCGTTTAACCATTAGAGGGAGCTCGTGCATCGTGTGTTTTTCATGATGACAACTTGTCAAGAGGAAAAAGTTGGGTCAGTTGGAGAGATGCAACGTTCTGAACTCTAGCGCGTGGAAATATTTGCACCAACTGTCTCAGGAAGAGTCAGCTACAAGTGAGTCTGGGCAGGACAGAATGCAAGGGTTTAATCCAGAGGGGGAGAGAGGCGAGGAGGAAGGCAGCTGAGATTCCCAGCAAGACCATAGACTGTGGGATGGGATCAAGAGTTACAGCCAGTCAGTCAAGAGAAAGGAGTGGGGAAAATGGGGAAGCTGAAGCATTTGGATCCAAGGCACGGCAACGATTCTAGTCCGGGTCATTTCCGCCGAGAGGCAGGAGGCGTGTTCAGCAACCCGCTTGCACCAAGACCGGGCAATGGCTCAGCAGAACCATAAACTCAGTGAGAGCTGGGATGAGGTTCCTAAATACACATCTGCCTCTAGAGCAATTCTCCACCTGCTGCTTGGGAAATGTGACCTTCGGATTCATTTTAACGTGGAATCAGATACCTGCTTGGTGCCTATAATTCACACCTGCACCACGATCGCCAATTGCCCTGCAGGAAGATGCACTGAATCTCAAATGCTATTTCAGTGCCGTACCTCAGGGCCCAGGTTTGGACAATTGATATCAACCCGCTGTCCACGTTGGTAGACCACTAGTGCATAGAACTGCTGATAAATTGCATCCGCAGAACGTAAAGGCCTAAGAATCCAGCTTCTCCCAGAAAATCAATGCTAAAAGGGAAAGCACAATATACTCATGGCTGAGTTGCAGGGTGGGGAAGGGTAAATGGATGATAAGTGTAGGCACATTAGCCACTGACAAAGCAGCCAGGCACCGTACCCTGCTCTCCCGGGTATGTTTCAAGGTGGGGAGGGGACACCACTTAAAAGATATTTTCTCTTGCATGTTGCACTGCAGCAGCTTTGCAACACAGTATGTAACCAATGTCTGGAGAAGCAAAGAATCCTTACGTCATGTCCTTGGCGTCCAGCCGGCCCTCTGGGCCCAGGAAATCCCTGCAGACCCATTTGACCTCGAACTCCTGGGGGCCCTTTCATCCCCTGTGGCCCACGTTCTCCCTGGAAGCAAGAAGATACAAATACATCATGGAGGGCCTGGCTGCACCTCCTGCTGCCCTTCCACCGGCGTGAACCGAGATGAAAACGGAGGAGGTCTTTGTAATAAACAACTAGCGTGACTATCTCAGCTCCTAACCCCACAGGGCAGCCATTTCCTTGCTCCCCCTCCGGATAGTCCGTCTTCTTTTATATTTGGGTCTCTTCAATCTCATCATGCTGCATTCATGGCAGAATGGAAGTGGAAAAGGAAACAGCCTTAATTAACCCTAAATGCCCTTTCTCTGAGGTGGTCTCCCCCTCAGACCACACCGTGATCAAAGTCACCAGAACATGGCTCCTGTTATCCAAGCTTGTCCTGCAGCCAGAACCACCAGCCGTTCTTTATTCCTGGCAAGTCCCTTCTAGCCCAGGCCCTGGGAAATTAGACAGACCTCAACCAAATCCCCGGAGCCAAGTATCTCTGAACTTTGGATCCACACCCAGTTCTGAACTTGGCAGCTCACTCCCACCTCTGATTCAGAGTCAACACCACTGGACAACGTCCTCCTCAGAAACACCACGCCCTCGCCTGTCTCCTGACCATAACCAGTGGGTTGAAGCCCAAACAAGACATGCCTCTCCACCTCATCAGAGCGCCCCAAGATTTGGGGCTGAGCAGGATTCGACCATCTATAATATGTATATGGCACCTCACACGGTTCAATGTATTTATTCCCGGAACACCCCTGTGCAGCAGGGTCATGCGGTTATTCCCACTGTACAGAGAAGGAACTGAGGTACAGAGAGACTACGTGACTTGCCCAAGGTCACACAGGAAGTCTGTGGAGGAGCAGAGAACTGCACCCAGATCGCCCAACTCCTAGCCACTGGACCAGCCTCTCTCACCAAAAATGACATCCTTTTCAGATTAAAAAGATCTGCCCAGGGCGTGAGGAGAACAGAGCAATCGGGAGCTCCAGCCAAATGTTCATCTAGTGACGTGAGCTCCTAAGAAATCCTTGTTGAAATTCTGCCACTAAAGTGAAAGTAGGGATGGGGTGATCTCCCTCCCTCTGATGGAGTCTCCTCCCTTTCTGGACACTGCCTAGAGCATCCCTGGCAGAGAGACATATCCAGACGAGGGCTCAAAACTTAGTGTTGGGCCAGTAACGGGGTTGAGGGGGAAGGGGAACAATGATTTGTGATTATTTTCATTTAAAAAAGGGCGGAGATATTCACACACACACACACTTAGCCCACAGCTCATGGGTAAATCATGAAAAGGCCCTGGCGCAGGCTGCAACCTATACACCTGCGCCAGGCCTGGAAATATGGCGAACAGGGTCAGATGCAGGGAAATACGTGCAGACACGCAGGAACGAATGGGGCTAGAAACCCTTTGCAGCTCAGTTTAACCTTGCAGCAGTTCAATGCTCTAGTGTAGACAGGCCATTAGTTAAACCAGATGAGCAGCCACAAACCTCCCCATAACCTACTGCCCTATCCTGCCTTGCCTGTGCCGCTCTCTCCAGCTGCCCTGCTACATGGGAGGAGGTTCCCTAGGGTTACCATACGTCCGGTTTTTCCCGGACATGTCCGGCTTTTCGG